AAAAAAAAAAAAAAATGTTCCGCATATTTTAAGAAACCCCAGTAAGTACAAGTTAAAAAGTTAGTAACAGTGGCGGCCTCAAAGGAGGGGCGTCACAATGATATAGCTAGTTGTACTAGAGGCATATATAGTCCACGAATGTATATGCCCCTAACTTGTCAATATTATCAATGGCAAACCATTTGATTCATTCTTTATTTTTATGTGTTCCACACTACTGTATTGTATGTAGCTCCAATTTTAGTTAAAATTATTTAATGTCAAAGAAGCACTCCATTTGTTAAGTATTGTCGATAAATATGATATTTGAACCGTCTTTTAAGTTTAATATGTCATATTGAATATTTTAAGCTCTAACACAAACTTCTCAATATTTTAACATAAACTAAACTCTTGAGTAAACTTTACATTCCCTCATCACGATTTCACAAAATCAAGTTCTACCATAGAACAAGGAGAAATTCGATACATAAAAGCTAACAAACATCAGTTTCGAAAGAGTACACAAGTTACAACAGCATTTGCTTTCCTCTCGTAGACAAAATGTCTCAGCAATTTGCTCTGCTGGTTGAAAATCTTAAATAAACTGTACTAGTACAATACAACATTTAAAAAGAATTAAAAAAAAAAATGGCAAAGCATGTTACAATATAGTGTACTCTTTGAAGGTTGATATGGATATATATGGTGTCACAAATTGACTCGAAAATGGCAAAGCATGTTACAATATAGTTTAAATGCATCCCTAATTTTCATATACTAATTGCTTGGAAAAAGTTGTTTCTTCACCTCTACTAGGCCAGAATAATGAGCTTTTAAAAGAAAAGCTGCCTTACAAAGCCTTTATATTGTAACCATACTTCACTGAATATTCAAATATGTTGTCTAATACCACAAAAGATATATATACATGATGTTTAAGAATAATAACCACTTTGATTTTGGGTGTTAAATTCTCTAATCAATATTTTATTGAATAACAAAATAACTAAAATTAAGCATCAGTCATTTAGGATATGATCTTCGGGTATTAAATGAGCCATCATAAATAATAAACTTGTTTTTTTTTTTTTTTTGAGATTTCATTTGCTTTCTGGTATTTTTAAGAAGAAATTGATCCTCTTCTATATAAAAAGATTGTACAACCATTGTGACATTTAGCTGGTAAATACAGTTGAAATTGGCCGGGACATTTAAAAAACGACATCAACTCATGCCCTTTCGGCTTATACAATATTGAAACGGCATCTTGTTCTTCTTGTTTGCCGAACCCGATTGCATCTAAAAACGACAGGTTTTTAATTTTTAATTTATTTATTATTTTTTCCTGAAAGACGACATGTCATTTATGATTAGAAGAACGTAAACGACATGGGTCATTTACAGGGGCCTCTTTGAAGGAAATTAGGAAAACATGTCCCTCATTTTACATAGAACGACATCTCGTATTTATCAACGAAGGAAACAACGTGAACATCAAAATAACATGTGCTTCAGCTAAGCTTTTATTTATTTATTTTTGCCTAAAATATATACGAAATAATATAAATCCTAGGACTAGGACTAGTAAAAGAAAATTGAACTCGTGATCGAGAAAAACATCCTACTCCAAATCAAATACGCAGTTGTTAGTTCAAACCTATTAGAAGGGGTCGACGAGCACAAGTAAGAGAAAGGATCTAAAAAAATCTTGAGGGTCTGAGTTTTTTGAGTTTTTTATTTTAATTATTTTATTCTAGATTTTAAGGAATATATATATATATATATATATTTGGGTTAGTAGATTTTGAAACTTTGAAAAAGATTTACAATTTTGATTTCTATTATAGTTATTGTTTCTCTTTAACATAAAAATTATTTTTAAATAGAAAAAAATAGTTTAGGAAATTTTTCATGAGATGAAGTTAAAAATTTCTATCTAAAATTTAATAGAGAAACTATTTATGGAACAATTTTAGACTTGAAGAACTGTTTATAAGAAAAATTAACTATAATGACTAATTATAAAAAGGAAAAAAAGTTCATGGGCTATCTATAAATTTAACTCTTATTTTTTATGCCAAACTTTTTGCTTCTGTTTTCCCTGACACGACGTCGTTGCACTGCTTTCCCTCTCAATTCCAAATTACAACGAAAGATACACATAACTCGCAGCAAAACCCTAGAAAGCATCAATGGCGATCGCGCGAACCGGAGTTTTCGTCGACGACTACTTGGAATGTAAGCCTCTTCTTCACTTTCCTCAATCAATTTCTTCCGATTCACTTTTCAAATCATCGAAATTTCAATTCACTCAGCTAAATTTCTGGCGAATTTGATTTTTTTTTTTTCTGAAAATTCTTGATTTTGAACTTGTGAAAGACGCGAGCACATTGCCGGCCGAGCTGCAGAGGCTCCTCAACACGATTCGGGAACTAGATGACCGCTCCCAGTGTACGAAAATCCCTAATTTCTTCGATAATTGGACGAACAAGTTTTTATTATTGTAATGGTTTTGAATAATTGAGAAATTTCATTGTTTTTTTTTTTTTTGTGGTAGCGATGATAAACCAGACGAGGCATCAGACGAAGTACTGTTTGGGATTGTCGAAGAAAGGAAATGTAAACAATTACTACAACAACAACGAAGAAGAAGAGTCCGCCATTGATAAAATGCGAAAGGAAATCGAGGCCAATCAGGATAATGCTCTGAATCTTTGCACCGAGAAGGTTTTGTTGGCACAGCAAGCTTATGATCTGGTACACATTTTTTATTTAATTATTTTTAGTATTTTTATTTTATCTTTTCGACAAGGTTTGTTAGCTTATGACTGATGGACTTTTTTTTTTTTTTTTGTAATTATGGGATAATGTTCTAAGCATTATGTTTAAACGTAGGATATCACATAGTTTGTACTGTAGACAAGGTTTGTGTACAAGATTAAGATTGGTTTTATAGGATTAGTATTTCTTAAAGAAATTGGACGTTTGCCATTTTAATCTTTTTTCTATGTTGGCATTGTTGGTAATCTTGAATCTTCTTGTAACTTCAGTACTAAAGGAAGATTAGAATAGTTCTTACCAAAAAAAAAAAAAAAACAAAACAAAAGAAAAGAACTACGTGAAAAATCAGAGATAGGAAGTCCTATTCATTCACAAGTTATGTGATACAGCTGATTAACTCTTAGGGAATACTAAGTTTAAGTAAATTGTAATGGATTGTCATGATATAGGGTATGAGAAAGGGAATTACTTCCTCATTTCCTACATCACGTGGACCCCACCAGATTAGCTTTCATAATTTTGTAAGCAAAGCATATGAATAGATTTGAAAAGGAAATACTCTTTACCTTTGGCTTTCCCATTCATGATAAGTAAACTCTAAAGGATTCTTTTTTTCATTTAGCTCATGTTTTCTAATTTTTTATTATACTCTCTTTGATGCAATTCTCTTCTCCTTCTACACAATGAGTAACTAACTTTAATGTAAGGAAAATTGTGGTGAAGAAAGCTTGTTGCCTTCATAATTTGAAGCTTTCGTAAATTGGTAGCTTCAAAAAAAATTTGAAATGTAAATGTTTGTCTTGTTTTTTTGTGTAGGAACGGAATTTTATAGAGGGAGAAATTTAGAAATAAAGACAGCAAGTTTAATAAAATATTTGTCAAGTCTACCACATTTCTTAAATAGTTGGAAGGTTTGTGACCCATTATGTTTCCTTTAGACGTCTCTTTGATTCTGATGCTGTGTATCGAGCATCTTTTCTAAGATTTTGCAACACTGTGGGTTTGTTGCTGCCATATGACGGTGATTTTAGCTTGTAGCAAATATGGTCTGTTCATGGAGAATGGGGTTGAAAGTAAACACCATATGTGATAAAATATAACTCTAATGTGCCAATAACAGTAGCTGAATTAAGTATGCTGATGCAATATGTCAAGAGTCATTTGTATCTGTTCTTTTCCTTTTAGCTTCAATGCTATGAATTTTTCAGAAAACTATATTATGATGAAAAGATGCAGAGTTTTCACGTATTTCATTTCCTCAGATAGATAGTCATATAAAACGACTTGATGAGGATCTGACCCACTTTGCAGAGGATCTAAAGCAAGGTACATTAGTTGGTGTAAACCTATTTTCTAGTTTTGATAAAATGTGCTGCAATTATGAAGAAATTATAGACCATTCTTCTATCAAGTTATAAGGCCGCTGAGACTATACCGAAGAAACTATAGCGCATCAAGCTTATTGGATTGTAACTATGTCAAGTTATCAACTTACTATGGATAGTCCCTACTCATCTTTGTAGCCATTCAATTAAAAACTGGCAGTATCTTTGAAATTGTTGTTATATCGAATGGTGGTCCAATTTCATTGGACTATACTAATCAATTTAGTAGGGACCAATGTCGAATATATTACTAATGTTTGTTTTCTTTTCTTTCCCAATTTCTATCAGAAGGAAAAATATCACCTGATGAACCCGCTATTCTTCCTCCAATGCCTATAGTCACCAAAAGTGAGAAACGTAAGTCTGTTTATGGAACTCCTCAACCAAGGAGGCCTGAGTACAGGGACAGAGACTGGGATCGGGAGCGTGATAGAGATTTTGAGCTCATGCCTCCCCCAGGAAGCCATAAGAAGGATTTTTCTATGGCTGTTGATGCAGATCAACCAATTGATCCTAATGAACCTACTTATTGTGTCTGCCATCAGGTTCTGTCTCATGATTCACCTTTTTTTTAAATATATATATATATATTGAAGTCATTGCCTGGCCTACTAACTGATAATTATTTCAAATAAGTTAACCCGGAGTAATTATTATTGATTATTCAGGTATCTTTTGGTGACATGATTGCCTGTGACAATGAAAATGTGAGTATCATTTTCTTTGCTGCTTATTTTTGTCTTGCCTTCTGGTTTGTGTAATACATTTTGACTTTATGTTATCTGGATTGAATCCTGCATCCTTCATTAATGTACCAGTAAATACACACATATATCCATATGGCATGATTATTTAGAGCTGTTGAATTCTTGCTCGTATGCTTTAGATTCTTTATTTTACTACGGTGGTTCAAAAAAAAAAAAAAGAAGAAGGAAAAAGAGAGGAGAGCTTCTATAGGAGGTGCTGAAAATTAGTTCAGATAGTGCAAGAGTTGGGCCACTTTCGGTGTGAATTGCTTCTGAGAGTGCTCGGACTATCTATAAATCTATTATCATAAATGAGTCCAAGAGTGGATTTCATTTTGATGAAGCATGAAGAATCCAATTCACGGGTAGATGTGGTAGAAACTTTGGCTCATCACGTTGAAACATCATTCATGCAGCTAATATCTGTTGCTTTAGCTTTCACTGAGAATCTTACTAAAATTTTCTAATTCGAAGTTGAGAATGTGGCTATAAAATACATCAGTATTGCTCAAGTCAAAGAAACTTGGAACTTCATAAGCTTATTCACGTAGCGTATGTTAGTATCGGCAGTGGTTTTGTAACTTTCCTATATTTAAGTTCTTGGAAGTTTGCATTACCCTTTCGAGCAATTTATGTAGTTTCCACTTTCCATAATCTGCTTGGTTCTCTATCATGTTTGTTTTCCTTGACAGTGCCAAGGAGGTGAATGGTTTCATTACGCGTGCGTTGGTTTGACACCGGAGACAAGATTCAAGGGGAAATGGTATTGTCCAACATGCAGATCGCTACCATTGTATTAATAATTCATGTGCCTGTTAAATAGTTTCTGAATTGCTTTTTGGGGAATGTTTATTGTTGTTCTACCATCTTTTCAAGACCTAAGAAAGCAGGGAAATTCCTTTTATTGTAACACCTAAATAGTTTCTGACATGTCTCCGAATTCTTACATGTATAGCTCCATCCATCCTTTTCAGTCAAAGCTATGTATATAGGTTCCTTTCCAATGTTTTGATTATCATAAATCAATAGTTGATTGGTCAGTTTTAGTTGGGGGGGGATGTGGAGACCTAAAACGGGACAAGCAAGTCAGGTCTGCAGTTCTTAATTTTCTTGTATCGGCCACATGTAATTGTAATTTGTAGGATTAATTCAGACCGACATTGTATTTTTTATTTTTTTATTTTCTTTAGTGGTATTATTATTGTCATTATTCTGAAGGATTTTAGTAGTAAAGATTAAAAAAAAAAAAAAAAAAAAAAAAAAAACACGTTTCTTGTATTTTGTATACTTAGTGGATTAAAAAAAAAAAACTCGTTTCTCTTATCTCCCTACTCCCAATGGCAATAACAAGCAAATCTAATTCAAAACTCAACCTTTGCTGATGAATGTATGACTATTTCGGTTTATCTTTTCTTAAGTCTCAATAATCCTATTAGTGCTTTTCTTTTTTTCTTTTTTTCTAAGAAAACCCTTCAATTAGCGTTGGAAGACATTAGAGAGCCACAAGTCTCGCGTCACTTTAAATGCACACACCATGAAAGGTCGTCCCCTACAATCCAAATGTCTGACTCTTCCACTTCTAAGCAAACCTTAATAAGAGAGAATTCTTCATGAATTTGTAAAACTAAAATAATTGTTGTCCCAGCTTTTTTAATCTCGGGATATATAATGAAATCACTTTTTCATGATATATATCGTTTTTTGTATAGTGAAATTAAAAAAAAAAAAAATTTCCTTAGTACGCATCGCCTTTTCTATTCAACATAAGAACTTGAACCGCTTATTTAGTATTATTATTATTATTACTGCAAGGAAAACACAATTGAGGCCACAAACAAGTCATCAAGCGTGCTTTCATAACAAAAACTAAAACCATAAAAAATTCCATACTCTTATATAATGTCAAGAAATTTAACATAATTCTAATATCTCTCACCGACAAATCACTTGCGGAAGGGGAAAGGACAAGATGTACCCCCTAAGACTAAGAGCAATGAAGAAGAAGAAGAAGAAGAATAAAAAGGAAAATCAAAATAATTCAAAGCTCGAGGTTATCCTAAGCAAAACAAAAGAGAATCTTGATCCGCCAAAATCCAACCTACTTTCTTTATTATTTTTCCGCTTATCTTTTGCATCCTCTGGAAAAAGCAGTAGTTTCAAATAACCTTCTTCAATGTATACTTATACTTGAGGTGAAAACTTAAAAAAGGAAAACAACAAGAAGAGTCAGTCGACCAGAAAAACCTAGCGAAAGAGAACAAATCAACTCATCGGCAACCATGATTACTTTCCACTGGTTTAGTAATGTCGCTACTACTTCAGGTGGTGCTCGAACAAAGATGCCATCTCAATCTGCAGTAGAAAGCAAAATTAAACATAAACGTAGCATTTGGCAACTACATACACTTAGTAATCAAGCATATGGAAATTTCCCTGTCCGCTCTCACACGCACAAATATTTATTGTGCACTTTCTTAAATCCAAATTAGAAAAAAAAAAAAAAACAAAAAAAACAAAACAAAACAAAACAAATGAAAGGAATATGGAATCCTATACTCCATCGGTTTTACACAACAACAATATCTCTTTATACTTCATCGTCATCCTCAATCCCGCTGGGGGTGGTTGGGGAAAGTTGAAAGTTTCATTTAATCCTCTACAGAACCATACAATTTTTGTGATTGTAAATTGCATCTTCAACTTATAATTCAACCATTCAAAGCTTATTTGTTTAACTAGAAATTTAACTTAAATATCATCGTCTCAGGTTCGGCATTTATGCATCTCCTCTAACAGATGAATCAAACATAACTGAAATTGTAATATAAAAATATTGCATAAGTATAAGCAATGGTATAATATACGCATATGACTTTAAAATCAACTTACAGCTGTCAAAGCAGCCTCAGATCCTTTGTTTCCAGATTTTCCACCAGCTCGGTTTAAAGCCTGCAATATAGCAATGAAAGACAACAGTCAAAACGTCACAATTGGCATTCAACTTGTAGCTGTGAGTTAGAATCTGAATGTTTTGAACCATATAGTTTTACCTGTTCCATGTCTTCGCAAGTCAGAACACCAAATACACATGGTACTCCTACAAATCATTGAAGAACACAATTCAAGTTTAGTTATTTTCACTAATTGCGAAAACACGACTAATAACAAATGCCGACGATGTACGTATACCAACCTGAATTTAGACTGGCGGAAAGCACTCCAGATGCTGCAGAATTAGCAACAGCATCATAGTGGGTTGTATCTCCTCTTATCTAATCATAACAAATGCGGTCCATCAATTAGGCAATCTTAATCTTCTGACACAGACAGAATGGATTAATGAAACTAGTTTGATATGGATAATGGAAAGAAAAGGTACCACTGCGCCGATACATAAAATTGCATTATATCTTCCTGACTTTCCCAGTTTTGTTGCAACTACACCAATTTCGAAACTACCAGGAACCCATACAACCTGATATAGGAGTAAAGAGAACAATCAGGGTATCATTCTTCCTTTTCTTTTCTTTTTTTTTTTCTTTTCCTTTCTGTCATGTGTAAATCTTGTAGAGTACCACGATTCACATGATAAGCAATTCATTATAAAAAATAAAACAATTAAACCATCATTTCTACTAAAGAACATATAAACTCTGCGAAAAGGACAAAATCAAGCTCTTTAAGAAATAAATATTCAGCTCTTTCCAAATGCATATCGCCTTTGGTATAAATTCTTCAATCAGGTGATTAAGTTCGCTCACAAACCAAGTTCATAATCACAAGACATGTTTCAAGAAAACAAAAAGATTATTGGATGGATATATTATTGGATGGATATAGGGGGTGGGGATATATATAGTAATCAGTACATACATCAACATCCTCTTCTGCAACATTATAGGCCTTGAAAGTGGCCAAAGCTCCCTCTAGCAGAGGCTTTGTGACAATCTCATTAAATCTGGCCACAACCTTGAAGAAAGCAAACCAACCAAAAATAATTACCAAATTTAGCTGATAAAAAGAAGAAAGAGATTGAAAGCAAAGAAGCAATTTAAAAATGGGTAAGGGTTTGATAAGAGACTGACCACGGCAAAACGAAGGCCGTGTGTAGTGGTGAGGGAACCAACGAGATGGCGAATAGCATTGGTGCGTGCAAAAGAGGAACAATGGTCATTGCTCTCTATTGATGCACCTGCAGTTAAGAGTAGAGGAGGATAATCTCAAGCTCATTCTCATTCAAATCAACCAATAAAAGAGAAGAGCGGAAAAGGAACAAACCTGGCCAGGAAGAAGACGATGACGAAAAGGATAATTGAGGCCTTTGTGTCCAACTCCGACTCTGAAGGCTTAAAATGGGAGCGGAATCTTGACTCAACTGGCTAGCTTTCACTTGGCAGCGAGGAACCAGCCTTGATGCTGCAAATGACAACGATGCTGCTTCTGCTACCGCTGCCATATCAGCTTTGGCAGAGAGCAACACTAGAAGAGTTAGAAATTAAGAAGAGAAAACCCAAGGAAATCCAAAGCCAAAAACAAAAACGAAAACGAAAACAAAAACAAAACAAGAACAAAAACAAAAGCAAAAAGAAAAACAAAAAGAAAAATGATTAATTCCAAAAGTATTTTACCTCTTGTAACATTTTATCCCCTGATCTTTAAAACGTAACATCCGCTCCCCATAAAAAATGAAATGTTAACAAAAAAAGCCCCCCTCCGTAAAGTTTTTAACTGAAATTGACATTTAATTTGTTATTTTGAGGGTATTTTGATAATTATATGGCTTAAAATTTAATTTGAATTTAAACTAATTTAAATATTAAAAAAAAAAAACTTCATAAATTTTTTTATTCTACCAAAAAATTCATAAAATTTTTAAACTACACTCAGTCAATAATAGAGGTATCATAACTAAAAGTTAAAATTTAAATTAATTTTAAATTCAAACTAAGTTTTAACCATAGCGCTACCAAAATTCTCCAAAAATAACAAAGGGGCCTTTAAATAATATTTCATTGTTCAGAGAGAACGAATGTTACGTTTCAAAGAGTGAGGGGTAAAGTGTTACAATGGGTATATAGTTCAAGGGGAGTTTTTGCAAACAAAAACAAAACAAAACACTTGTTTATCAGATACTTCTAGTTTTATGTGTATGATAATCAGAGTAGAATGCTAAAACAAATATTAAACTAATAAATCAAATATCAATCTTCCAAAAATTAGAAAATAATTGCAATCAACAAAAAATCACAAATAGCTAAACACATAAACTAATCAAAATAATAATTTTGACCAGTACCAACCAAAAATCGCTATAGCAATTTTCAACCATCAAACAAATTCCAAAAACATCCACAAATGATCAACAAATTCAAAAAACTAATATCCATATCATAAATTAAACTTCAAATTAAAATTTCAAACTAGGGGTGTTCATCGAATCCGTCAATCCATCCAATCCACCTAATCCAATCCCATCCGACGGATTGGATTGGATTGGATTGAAAGAATTTTGGATTGGTAACGGATTGAGATTTTCCCAATCCGAAGTTACAGATTTGGATTGCGGATTGAGAATTTCTCAATCTGAATAATCTGTCAAACCGAACTATATATGTTACATATTATATATATATATATATATATATTATTACATATAAATAACATATATAGAAACTTTATAACCATTATCAAAGACTTTACTTATTGATGTTTGTTTCCTACAATTGGCTTGAATCTTAGATTTTAAATTATTGTCAAAGACTTAAAGTTTATGTTAGATTATGTGTTGTTATGAATTAGATTTTGTGAAACTATTTTAATGTTATCATGTTTGTGTTTAATTTTGTTATTAATTTTATGAGAATATTGAAAAGAGAGAGGCTATAAGAGTCAATGTTCAAAATATTGGTCAACCCATGAATCCGCATAATCCAATCCGCGGAATCCGTTTTTTCAGATTGGATTGGATTAAGAGTCTCACGGATTGGTAACGGATTAAAATTTTTCCCATCCGCAATAACGGATTGGATTGCGGATTGATTCCTAATCCGCGTAATCCAATCCGCGAACACCCCTATTTCAAACACAAGATTTCAGTCACCTATTTCAAACACAAGATTTCAGTCACCTATATACGCAACTTCTAGTTCAAACAAAAATGAAAATGACGAACACAAGTCAAGCTCTTTTTTCATTATAATAGTCAACAACTTAACTAAAATCTCCTTCTCACTCAACACCGTTTTCTGTTTTCCCCAAATACTAAATTTTAGAAAATGAGAAAATCTTACCGAAAGAGAACGGAGAAGAGCAAATAGAGTTGAGACCTAGAGAGGGATGCGATGATGAAGAGACATTGAAAATGGAAGCTTGATGAATGGAAAGCAGAATGGAGAAACTAGAGAAGGTTTTCATGCCTGCGAAATCGAGAGCTAAGCCCCTTCTCGCCGTTGCGTTCGCCGAAAATGGCGATGAGGTCGCCGGCGATTTGGTGGTCTGCTAGGGCACGATGGAGAAGAATGGAGAGGAAGAGAAAGAGGAGAGATGAGAACGCGATTAATTTTCTTTTACTTTCCTCGCCAATTTTCAGGAAAATAAAATCCCAGATCCAGGCAAGTTATAAGATTTTCCACCCAATGAGCTAAGATTTCCATTCCAAAGCAACCCATTTTGATTTTTGTAAAATAACCTATGAAATCCCATCCCATCATATAATTAGAGGCAAAGGGGGAATAAAAGATCGTATCAGACCAGAAACGTTCACAATTCATCTCCTCAAAGACCCAAAAATTCCAACTTAAAAGAAAAATTACGAACAAAAATGAAAACCAACCGTGGAGGAGCTTGGCTGTCGCGACGGCGCTCGCACAGGAGAAGGGTCTCCGGTGGTGGCACGGTCACCTGCGCGCTGACGTTTGACGGCTGGGGATCACTGATGAGCTCAAATATAAGGGGGTTTTTTTTTTTTTCAAAACCAATAGTACCTAAAATATATTACAAGGGTATTTTGTTGGACCTTTTTCTAATTCCACAGCTACTTTTTGAGTGGAAACCGAACAAGGAAACCAGTAGTTTTGGAGAAGGTAAGGTTGACTTCAGGGAAATCGAGATGTACTATTTAAATAGTGGATGAAATATTGCTGTGGTGGATAGAATAGTCTTTTCCTATTGTAATTTTTTCCTTTTTTTTTTTCCTTAAAAACGGATAATTGGTTTCATCCTGCCGTTTTTTATTCTCTTCCTCACTTTAGAAATCCTAAACCCTCTACAATAAGGGCCTGTCTCATGCGCCCAGCGTTTTGGGACTACGGGTTAGGCCTAATAGGATAACAAATTCTATTCGCATGAATAATGATGGACTCAGCTACACAATATCTAAGTTCACGTTTAGTTCACAGATTTAAAATCATGATTCATAACTATTTTTAATTTACGTGTATTTTTTATAAAAAAAAATATTATAACGAACCACGAATCATGACATGAATCCTCGTACTAAATAAAACATAAATTTTTAGCATAAAGTCTTTTCATCCTGATGCACGACTTTAACGATCCTACGTGGATTTAATTATTTCTCATTGACACAAAATGACAATCATAGCCTCACTAAGGGTAATATATTACAAAAACAACGTTTTTGAAGTGTGTGCAGGTATAAAACCCTTCACACAAATACAAGGTGAATAAATTCCAAGTTTCCTGCGCTTCTAACGTTTTCTCTGTTCATTACTGCCATTTTTTCCTCCGTACTGCTGCTTCTTTCATTTGTTTTTTCTTTTTTCATTTTTCGGGCCTTGTTAACTGCTGTATAATGAGTTTATCACATTGTCCTCTAACGCCATTGAAATTACAGCCACATCAACATTAAATTCACAATTACAAATAGAAAGATCATTCTTGCTAACGTATCATAGTTCGAGGCGCGTGACATTACTGAATTTACAAGCACTATTAACAATAACAAGGAGTGGGGAAAAGAAAAGGGGGGAGTACATTACTGTCTCATACCATTTAGGGGCATTTAACCGTTGCTTTGAAATTGCATCAACATAAATGAAAGTTGAAGACAGACATTCCAATCACTACTTGGCACTTGAAAGAAAAACTTTTAACCAAAATTTATGTTCAAGGAAAAAATGTAGCACCATCTGTATGGTGTAAGCTTATTCAGTCTTCTGAAAAGTAACATTTCTCAGGTCACTCCACTACTAATTACTGATGCGACTTGTTAACGCATTAACGCATTCAACACGGGCAGAAAACACAGTGACCACCAAATTCAAAAAATTATTTCCAATTTAGATCCTCGCACAAGCACAAGATTAAAAGAAACTAAATGGAAACTAGTTGATGACGTCGAGAACCAGTTTGCGGGACTTCAGAGGGCTCCACTTCAAGCGCCGGTAATAAGCAGCTTGCAGTAGAGCCAGTGAGAGAACAAATATCCATTTGAATCCCATCTGCATTTTAAGACACCCAAAATTCAGAATTAACCTATCATTTTGAATAGTTAACCACACGAAAAGAAATCGATGTATAATGCAAACACACCAGTTTCCTTTCTTCCATTTCTGGTTCAGCGGCCCATGCTAGGAACGTCACAACATCTTTCCCCATCTGCACCAGAACATCCCAAAATAGCTTGAGCTCCAATCCTCACAAAGTGGATTAAGGCATTTCCATTTGTATGCACAAAGAATTAGACAAACCTGAGCCTCTGTGGCAGGAGTACCATCTTCATACTCCATAGCTCCATCATTAAGCATCTTTGGCATCGCAATTGCTCCACCAGGGAAATAAGGATTGTACTGCAACCCCTCACGGATCTAAAATATCATTGGTATCTTCTCAAGTAAGAATAGTCGTCATGGCACATTTCCTTGAAAAATGCAGACTAGGAAGATTGCAACTATAACAAAGTAATTCTTTTTGTACAAACTCGTCACCGTCTATAGGCGCACTTTTCATCTAGATGGTAGTGCAAATTGGAAGAAATAAAGAATACAAGAATGGGGAAACAGAGACAAACAAAGGACCAGAAAAACTAATAAACAAAAGGGTCTAGGAATATCATATCATAAAAGATAGAAAAGACATCACCTTATTGGGGAAGAAAAAAAATCTATACAGGACCAGTTAGTTAGCTCGCATAAATGGGTGCAGCAATTGTGTCAATAAAATACAAATGAGACTTCAACAAACGCATTCATATCTAAAACTATAAAATAAATGTCAAATCCCATAGCATTTGAACCATTCTTGTTTTCCCTTTTTATTTGCAAAAATAAAACTTCATTTTTGTATACTTATTGCCATTAATTTAAGGTTTGTTTCCACTAGAGTAGAAAGTTAAAAGTATTGGAATTAACTATCAAAGGATAAAATGAAGCAAGAATGAATAGAAAAATACCGAAACACCAGCAGGGGGATCACGATAACCAGTTAATAGAGCAAATACATAGTTCTGACCATTGTGACGAGCCTGAACAAACAATGGTAAGATAATTTTAGCAAAACGCTAATAAGAGTCGAAAGTATAAAGAAATCATAAGAAGATAGAAGTTACTTTTGTAATGAGACTGAGATCTGGAGGATAGGCTCCTCCGTTAGCAAACCTAGCTGCTTGCTCATTTGCATATGGCTGAGGAAATCGGTCACTCAATTTACCAGGGCGAGTGAACATCTCACCCTCATCATTGGGTCCATCAACAACCTCAATTTCAGCTGCCATAGCCTTTGTCTCCTCTTCTGTGTATGCAACACCCACCAAATCACGGTATGATATCAAAGACATGGAATGGCAAGATGCACAAACTTGTTGGTAAACCTGATGACCACGACGAATCCTGCCCAAACACAGTTCGCCATGAAACGTTCGCAAGAAAATACCATAATTCTAGATTGGAGCATCTTCATCAGGTCGCTAAGGCAAGATACTCTGAATTCTAGTTAGTGGTAAATAAATATTCTCTCTCTTACAGATTACAGAATAAAGCTTTAAGCTTTTACTTGCGCAGGTTTTTCAAGGGACCATCAAACACTAACATTTTATAAGGACAACGAAAAAAAAGCAGCTGTCAAGAGAAACAACATTGTTAACGAGTGACTAAGCTAGTTATACACTAAATTCTAGTGAAAAGAAATGAACAACACAGACAACACACTTGCACTACAGGTCAAATTAGAACTCACGATGCATGATCATATGAACTCAGAATTCCCTCGTGAGGCCAGGGATAGTTTGGACATTCTAATCCATGTTCAGCCTCATCAGCAGAGGCTACCGTTGCAAAACCTAGAAACCCTGAAACTCCTACTCCAAGTAGGGCAAGTGCTCTAAGAGACTTTGCGCCAGCAGAGTCAACACCATCCCTCTTACTGATGAGGGAAGACAAAGATGGAGGGGCCTGCAAATTAGCAGAGCAAAATCAATAGTTATGGTGAAAGTGGAGGAAAAAGAAAAATGCATCCACTCAATATAGCATAGACACAACCTCTTTATTTTAACAATATGAATAATTTGTCCTCTCAACAATAAATAATTGCTTTCTCATTTCTGAACTTACAAGTATGTCTATGTCCCTCCCTGTTCTTTATTATTCCTTTTCCATTTACTGATCACCACAGTTTTGTCGTGCATGTGTGTGCATATATGTATGTATGTGCATGATTGAACACATTGGACAGCAGTTTTTGCAGATCAAATTCTCACTGCTTTCTTCTCTCCCTTTGCTGATCTCTTTTTAAGAGCTTGATCTTCAAATCCATTGTGGTCTCTCACCTTCAATCAATTTTTTCTTTTGTCCTTTCTTTCCCTTTCGTTTTGTTATTCTGGAAGTTTTTCATTTTCCCTTTCAAAGCAAAAGGGTTCTAATCAGACCAATTCCTAATATTTTTCTAGACAATCAAGCTCCAACTGCACTACAAACCTATGTTTCCATGGCCATTTTCTGCACTTCTATCTCAATTTCGAACTCTACCATATCCTTTTTCGCAGCTTATTGGCCTCGTATTTTTAGGACAGCTTTATGCCTTTGTCGTTATGTAACTCTTTAATTTATTTTCTCTTCTGTGTGAATATATCAATAAACCACTGAGGATCGATCAGAAAAGAGAAGCTATTATCTTATCTGAAACAGAAAGGCAATTCAGTTTATGTTGATTGACAGACTCCCTTAATGAAAACATAAGTAATGGTCATCTAGAGAGAAGCTTGGCAGTTTGTTGGTCTTTGCACAACTGTGAACTTGAAATGCAAATGAAAACTTCCTATTTTCTCTCCCTCTTACTAGACAGTCATCATTTTCTATTCGACATAGAATGTAAAAGTATATAAACTCAGTATTTCTAATCTTTTCACCAATTCAAGTCCCGGGTATTACTGAACAGAAACAAAAGCTCCAGTCAATTATTACAACAATTTGAGGGGAAAAAAAAGAGAAGAAGGGAAGATTCTTACAGTCGATTGAGACCCAAGTTTCCTCCTCAACAACTGGTGGATTGCCCCTCTAGCCATTGCACTCAAAATTCCTGTCAATCAATTAATTCACATACATAACACAAAAAAGTCATTAACTTTATAACATTGATGCCTAATTTTGGAGAAATACCAACTTCGAGCACATAAATTTTCGAACAAAAACCAAAGTCCTTTCTAACAAATTATTAACAGGCTTTTTGCATCCAAAATTTATATGTACATAAAAAATGAAGGAATTTTAAGAAACTTCATATGTAACCCTAGAAACGGGGGATCAAATCAGGTGATGGCGATAAAAGTCAAGCAACGCCTGAATTTGACAGATCCAACCAAGCGCCATCGAGCTCAGCTCGCCGTTCACCGGCGCGATCTTCCGGCGCCGAAGAGAGAGACAGAGAGATGAGAGCGAGTGAGAAAAAAGGGGAGTAATATGAAATTTTTTGCCGTATAAAATGTTGATTTCGAAAGAGGGAAAAAAGATTGATCGCGAAAGTCTCCAAATTTCAGCTCCGGCAATGGAAATTCCAAAGAAGAAGGAGAAGTACCTGAAGGAAGGACTGGAGTAGTGGATGAAATGAATGAATGAATGCGGATGAAGAAGATGAGAACGCTGATTTTCGATCCTAGGGTTTCTGTGATCTAAATCTCATTAACAAGTACCACAGAAATTTAAAAAAAAAAAAAAAAAAAAATCCTCATCTTTTTCCTTTTTTCACAAATGACCTTCCAATTTTTAAAATTACAATCTGATCCCTTCTGTTGTTTTGGTCCTTTTGGAGCGCGAATTTCTTCCTTTATTAATGGTTTGACTGTTTAAGTCAAAATTAGAACCTGTAAAGTCACTTTTGCCCAATAATTAGGGGTGTAATTCGGCCGCATAGCGTCAAATTGAGCCAAAAAATTGAGCCAATCCGTTCAGTGTGGGTTGAAAAAATTTTAGGCCGCAACACTCTCTTAAGCCCACAAATCCGTAACTTGTCGGGTGACTTCGGGTAGGCTTGAGTTACTCAGGTTGGTGAAAACCAATTTTAATCTATGACTTCATACCTTTTTTAAGAGTCCAAAAATATAAAATCCATAAACAGTTCATAAGCATTAGCATAACACCAAACATACTTCTTAACAGTCAATAAAATCCAGAAATAAAATTAACAATACGTCAAATAAAACAGTCTATATAAAGATAGTCCAGCAAAATAGATCTAGGGATTTAAGGTTATACACCTAAATCGGGTCGGGGCAAAGCGGATCGGGACTATTTGAATCCAAATTTATAAAAAAATAAAAAAATAAATAAATAAATAAATAAATAAACCTACGCTTTCGGGTCGGGTCGGTGTGGGTTATTCGGGTTCGGCCTCATTTCTTACACCCCTACCAATAATATGTAGGAATTTTTTTGTTCTTTCTTTTAGAAATATCAATGTTTTCTATTTATCAGTCATTAGATTTGTATAATTTTTTTAATCTGATTTGACTTTTGATCATATTTAATACAGATTTGATGACTGATAAATAAGAAACATCAATGTTCTAAAAAAACACTAGAGAAAGTCATCAATAATATTAAGAATTTATTGTCTATTTTTTCCTATCTCATTCGTTCATTGTCCATCTACTATTTATTTATCATGACATTTAAATTTCACAAGCTCACTACGTAGTAAAAACTAAATATTAAAACATTTAAACAATTTATGGTGTGTTAAAATTTAATAAAAAAGACAACCAACAAAATAAGAACATGCGAATGTAGATCTAAATTTATAATTCAATTGATAGAATCTTGACACTTTGTAAAATTTTTAGTTGCATTTAGTTGCATTTTTTATTGGCAAATGCAATTTTTTTTATTATTAATTAGTTGAAACACACGATTCTCACAGGATTCAGTCTTATGCTAGCTTAGTTTATCGATTCGAGTTGAAGAGTAAATTTATGTGAGAGTAAACATTGTAGTACATAAAATTAAATTTAAATTTTTGTGAAATAAAACACTGTAGTAATTTTTTTGTTGTGTTATTGGATATAAATATTTAAGGAAGATCACATTTAAAAAATATTTTTTTAATGGGGTAAATGAGTGGAAAAAAAAAAGTTAAGAAAAGGAGAAGAACGAAAAATAAAAAATTGTGGGGAAGAACTGTAAAAGGATAAGAAATATGATAGAAAAAAATTAAATAAAAAAAAAAGGCACCGCTATAATAGCAATACAGACACAAGTCTTCGATGAAATGCAAAAACATATGGATGCACAATTGAAAATAAAAAAAGCTAAATAATGGAGTCTATATATATAATGACTCATAATACAGTGGTAAATGTTCTTGCCCTTGTTGGCTGGGAATTGGTGAGAAACTTTGTGGTGGTAAGCAATGAATTGGTGAGGCCGTTTTTTGACAACTGCCTAAGGCCTCCCTTAAAGTCTTGGCCCCTATTATTAGAACTAGTAACTAATTATCTTTATACCTCAAAATATTGAACATATTAATTATTTTCTTTTCTTAAAAAGAAAATCTTGTTTCGTCAAGGCCCCTATTATTAAAATTATTAACTATCTTTACACCTCAAAACATCGAACATATATATAGAGGAAAATTTTGAACTTATTAATTAGTTTTCTTTTCCTAAAAAAAACAAATATCTTATTTCCTAAGTTTTAGTAAACAAAATTATTTTATTTCTCCATATTCATGAATCTTTTTCTTGATTAAAATATTTCATCCAAACATCAACATAGGTGCTTGAAGCTGGCAAAACCAATAAAGGAAAATCATTAACCAAGCGTAATGTTCAATTTTGTCATTGTCGACTCCATTGCCGCAGCTTTAAATTAACATAAAATGAAATCAAAATAACTAAAAAGCAAAAAAAATCAAACCAGAAGAACCCAGTTTAAGGCTGTAACCAAACGAATCGAAACCCATTAATTTCATCACAATCTGCAACAAAAATCAACAAGAAAAAAAAAAAGAATGAAAGAAATAAAAAAAGCAAATCCTAAAGTCCAATTTCTTGCTTTCCAGAGTCAAGTGTTTGAACATTTTGACCTCGTGACGAGCAGCCAAAAATACTAATAATAAACTGTACAAAAACAGAAAGAAACTAATCTCCTAAGATGAGGTTGTCCTCGTCGTCCTCATCCTCAGCAGGTGATGCTTGAAGCGTTGGTGGCGGAGGAACCATAGGAATATTAATCCCAGGAAACAGAATTGAACCAAACTTTGGTTTTGGCTTTTTTTTTTTTCATATTGCTTTCTCTTTTTATTTTTCTTAACCAAACTTTTATATATTTTTAGTTCTCGTCCTTCTTTTTAACTTTTTTTCCCTATTTACCCCTACTAGAATATTTTTTCCAACTATATAAGTTTTGTTAATTAAAGATGACAGATATCCTTCTAAACGACAGTTTCTTGACACAAATCATTCTCAAAATTTCATTTGCAAAATCAGAACTTGTTCCCGGCAATTCTAAGCTTACATTTGACTGTCAAAAAATCATAACTTAGGATGATATAAACTCACATAAAACATAAAGGGTCAAAACCTTTCTGCCAGTCTAGCAGCAACTGCTCTTAGTTTCGAGTATACCTTTCCAGCGGGTGAACCTAAAATAAGACTGCAAAGGGAATCTCTTGCGACCTTAATATTTGCAAAAGACCCCAATATGTGAATTTTTGTATCGGCAATCACAATCCTTGTCTTTGTGGCGTTTTCGATTGCAAACTTTGTCTTACCACCTTTACCAGAAAGTCTACCGATGGCACGAGACAAGTGCTCTCCCCAAAGCGTTTTAACATCCTTTATCTCGAAAGACTCGACATAGAGCTCGTCCAAACGCAGAAGGGCAATGGCATCAATCACATCAAAACCGAGCATGAAAGTGTGGACAAAATCAGCACACTTCTGTAGGTTACTAACGTCGGGTATGTCTGGCCTCGTCTTTAGTTCCACCTTACGAGCCTTGAGATTCATTCGAATGTCGATCTTCATCTGCTCGTATACAGGAGTGTATATATCCATCCAAGCTTTCTTGAGAGGCGAATATCGATGTGGGGGGACAGAGGCCTTTCTAAACTGAACTCGACCATCAGACATCTCATGTGCCTTCAAAGGCTCAAACTTTGGCTTCGGCAGCAACGACCCAGATGCAAGATTCGGTTCTGAAGGAGTTGCTTCAATTTCCATTGAAGAAGGAGCTTGGTTGGACTCCATTTTTCGATTTGCGGGATTTCAACCTGCAAGGATTTAACAGAAATTAATCCAAAGATTAGTAATCAATATAGCAGCACATTAACATAGGGGACACTGCTGGTTCACTGCCATTAAATTTGAAAAGGAAGAGAACAAAAATAATTGAGAACAAAGGAAATTACAAGCTACAAAATAACTGAAAACATGGAAGAAAACGATAATAATTGAGAATAAACAAAAAGAAAAAAGGCAGCTGAAAAAAGAACCTTCATCAACAAGAAGACATGATAATTAGAATTACTAACCTCTTAAGTGCTCAGAATTGCAAATTTCTAAAGTTCAGAAATTTCAGCACAACAAGAAGCTCCTAGTTCTATCAAACAGATAAAAGCTTCACCAAACCTAGTTAAGAAGAGTATGCTAACTAGATTAGCATAAATATATACATACATATATATATATGTATATGTATATGTGTGTGTGTATTGATAAGAAACAACATAATTTTATTAAAAAATTATAATATCCAATACAATTTCTAGAGTTCAGAAATTTCAATATTATAAGATGTTCCAAACAATAAGATAATTCCAAAGCTCTTTAACTTCTATGATTCACAAAACTTCCAACTAATGAAATTCTCTCTGTTTTCCAGAATTTCCAACTTCACGAACAAAAACATGGGAAACAGATTAAATTCTTTTCCAAAGAGAGAAACAAGAAAATAAGAAGCAAAAAATTGAAATTACATTTTCATACATCGTTAAAGCGAAACATATATTTCACCTTAAAAAAAAATGCTAAACCCAAGAATAATTCCCAATTAAAAATTCGAAACACCCAAAAAACAAAAAGAAAACCCGAAAAATAATCGAAGGGAAAAACCAATAAACATTCGTAGAAGATGCCGGAACGAAAATACCTGAAACAGAGTAGACGAAGAGAGAGATAGAGGGGGGCGGCAGAAGAGAAGTTTTTTGTTTTCCCGCTGGTGAGGAGTTTGGAGGAAGAGAGAAGGGTTTCATCAGTAATTGCCTGCGCTAAGGTATATGACAACTAAAATGTTCCCCAATCATAATTAGGAGTGAACACATGTGTCTCCTAAATTTTATGAATTATTGGCCATGTTTGTTTCAATAACTCAAGCTGTTATTTAGGATTCAAACCGGTATTTAGAAGAGAAAAATTTAAGGACAATTCAAACTCTTAATAATGGTTAAAGGATAACTCAAATTGTTGATTTTAGAATTCTAACCATCTAAATTGTTGTCAATAGTCCAATAGTTTCAGATTCTATTTTTTCTCTCTCTTCAATTTTAATCTTAAAAATAGTATAATTTTTTTGTTTTAATTCCGATTGAGATGTTTTTTTAAATGTGCTCATAATGAAAAAAGAACAAATCCCCACTCATATTACATATATTTTTAACGTCATTTATAATGAGGTTTTATAAGATTTATTACAAAACTCTAATTACAGTTTTCAACACTCTATCCAAACACAGTTAGGATTTATTCTCAATTTAAATTATAATTTATTTACATATTTAAACAATAATTCGGATCACAGTTTGAATCACCACAGTTCAAATTCTACAGTTCTAACCAAAAATATTCAAATCTCTATAATTTAAGTTGTTGAACTAAACATGCCGGATACTTTGCACATTTGCTCCTTAAACTTGTAGAGCTTTAGCGACTTGCCTCTTAAACTTTTTGTTTTGACAATTAGTCCCTTGAACTTACAATAATGTTACAATATGTCCTATTTTAATGAACGTGTCATATTGAAGACAAAAAATCATAGTCAATGAAAAATTCTAACATCCTAATTTTAATTGTAATATAAAGCTCTCATTCAAAGAGAAAATTTTGGAAGTTTGCAATAGTTTTGCAAGTAGAGAGAAAATTTTTAAAATGAAAAGTTTATGGGATAAATTGCTGAAAGCTCTACAAATTTAGAGGTACAAAATACTCTTGTTTGGTTTATAAGTTTAAATCACAAACTCCAGATTAGAACTAAGAATCTAACTTAGATTAGTACTTTGGAGGGAAAAAAAATAAGTGTGGATTGAAGTTTGAAAAGGAGAAATATAAATTAGATTACCAATATAAATAGGGGAGAAAGAGGAAAATATGCCAAGACTTGAGATGAATTAAAATTAATAGGCCAATAGTTTACATAAGTTAATAAATAGGCCAAATTACTGTTTTTGTCCATAACTTGTCTGGTTATGAACCATAACTTGACAAGTTATTGTCAGTTTTTGTCTATAAATTATCTGGATATGAACCATAACTTGATAAATTTATCCATAACTTATCTAGTTATGAACCATAACTTGACAAGTTATGACCTATTAATTTCTCTAATTAAAAATTAACCTATATACTTTTTTAAGCTTTTTATATTAGTTTATTTTCTACCGTTTTCGTATAAATAGTTACTTCCTTTTGTGCCTCAATTTTAAAAACTTGAGGTGTCAATAAAATTTCCTTATTTATTTTTGTACACAGTATTTTCTTAAGCCCAAGCCCAACGTTTCATCTCGTGACGCAAATGGGCTCCTCCCTTGGACCCAAACGCTTGAGAAATTCTCATGGGCAGCAGGCCTGCAGCTTAGTAAGTCATAGGAATTAATGCGAAAAGGACACAAATACTGTGAGTCTAGACTTTTAGTCTTTGTTCTAAATCAATATTCTTTTTAGTTAAATAACTATCGGTTAAAAAAATATTAATTAAGAGTAATGAATAAAAATCTAGATTTATACACTGTAAGGGTAATTTTAACAATTTTTTCAAAATAATTTCAAATGAGTCCGTAATGTTTTTAGTTTTAAATCCCATTTGGGGGTTTTAATTGGGTCTAGGGTCGATGGGTGAGGATAAATCAACCCAATAACCTCTTCTCTTACTTTTGGTAACCTAAGGCCCAACTTCTAGAGTCTCTAAAGGACAAATCTCGTATAATTTCAAGAGTCAAAGGAGGTGGCAAGTGTAAAACACACCCGTCTTATGGAGCCACTAACCATTAACCTATTAGAGTACCACTAACCAGTAACCATTAACCTCTTAGATTTTCCTTGGGAGGTTTCCAAGAGCTATATATCCGCCTGGAAATTTAGCGTGCATTTGGTTCAAGGATTCGTATCGTGATTCGGATCATAGTTCGTGACTCGTCAATATTTTTTCTCACAAAAAATACACGTAAATCGAGAATGATTCTGAAACCATCAACCAAACGTCCTCTAAACGTCGAAAACATGTAACCAAACATCGGAATCACCCGGCTCTGAATCACTTCTCTATCAACCGTTTAGGGGACGTTTATTTCCTATATTCGTCCATGATTCATGGTTCTCTACAGTGTTTTTCTCTCACAAAAAACACACGTAAAACGAAATAGTTCTGAATCATGATTTTGAATACATAAACTAAACGTCCTCTTATTCCTCTCACCAATCACCATATCCTTAACGTTATTTGTTCCGTCTATATTTGTTCTCTTAATTAGTTTGTTTTACATCATCATTTTGATTGTTTGGCAAGGAAATGTGCCTTAGAAAATCATGAAGTTGTTCTTCTTTGTATCCTTCGGGCCTAATTGACTCTTCAGCAAATTTGGAGATCCTGCCCTAATCATGTCCTACAAGATTAGCAAGTCTTTTTAATTTGGTAATGTACCAACAAACCAAAGACTAACCTGCCACGTCGTACCTGCCAAATCTACCAGACCCATCAATCATGTTGAATTACCGACATGTATTTTATAGACTCACATTCACACATAATTGTATAAGCTAGCCAGAACACCGTATTTCAACAAAATCTAAGTGAAGTTTTTATAATCCTATGATTAAAACGGAACATGCCTTTGAAATTTTTCGATAAGATATATAGAGGTTAGTTGGTTCATATAGTCTTAACGTCCCTTTTCATTTTTTTATGTAGCTAATCTTACTCAAAAGCACCATTTAAATAGATTCCAAATAATTGCATTCTTCCATATTGGGACCCCAAAGTCAAGAAAAAAAAAAAAAAAAAAACAATGTACATGTGCCAGGCATTAAGGAAAGCACATAAGATGCCTTTCCTATGCATATATTCAAAACAACAAAGCTCTTGGAACCATCAATAATTCAAATTAATATATGATTAGTGTACTTTTTTCCTTTTAACCAGCACTCTAGTTAAGGTCATATATATTTATATATGAGATTTAACTGTAGACATGTTTGACATTAATTGCAAAGAGGTGGGAGGCACATGCCAGCCTACCCCCCATACTTAGTTTTAGCAGAAAATTCTATGCTTTCTCTTGGGCAAATTGAAGTTAGATACAATCACATGTTAGTTAGCCCTTAACAAAAAAATTATGGATTCCCAAAATCTGTAGAACCATTTTAAAAAAATGAAAAAAAAAAAGCCTATTTCTGAAATACTAAAAATTCTCATGTTTGTCTACATAACAAAGCATCTAGTTGGAAATTTCCTTTCCTCAGAGCAAAATGGATTGATATGATATGGTTATGTTCTTTCATAATCAAGCTTCACAGAAGAATGGATCCTAAGAGGGTATATTTAGTCATATATATGGTGTCATTTTATCAATCAAATGAAATTAAACAAGAAAGTCAATGTGATCTTCTGTTCAATAAAATGAAAAATGACTTTTCTTTCCACAAAATGATGGTAGATACAACATACAACTTGGATCAATCACATAAACTTGATGATCTCCAGATATTAACTGTATATTCCCCTAAATTAACAGGAAATTAATGATTTTAAAATCTACCTTATTATTCAAGTCTCTAATCCCTGGCCTCTATATCTCACTTTTAGTCAATTCTCTCTTTCCTCTCATGCATTGATTTTTCCTTGACAAAACACAAGAAAAACAAACCCCAAAAAGGGGGGGGGGGGGGGGGAAAGAAAAAGAAAAAATCATATGAAAATTTTCTGAAGATCATCTACACATTTGTGGGTGATGAGGAGTGAGCTCACAATCAGATGGGGGAGAGCAGCAACTGATTATCTTGTCCGCACTGAATCCCAGCTGCTCATGCAAGAAGAAAATATCTCTCTTCTCTTCAACCACTTTGAGAATCTTCTCAAACAAAGGCACTTCACAAGGAATCTTGAGCACCCCCTCTTGCTGAAAACCAAACTCTTCCTCAGCTTCCCTCAGAAGAATACCAAAAGCTTGGTGTCTCAGATACTCAGTTGGGATGATGAATCTCTTCATCTCCTTCCCAACACAAACAGCAAGAAAGCCTTTTGGAACGACGTCGTTTGAAGCGCTCGAAACGTCGTTAAACGACAGGGTTCTCTTGATAAATTTCATGCTCTTACTGCTGCTAGTTGTAGTAGTATTTGTTGTTGTTGTTGTTGTAGCAGTAGTGCTGTTCTTAGAAGCATTTGCCATCTTCTTCCACTTCTTTAGGATCTGTTGAAGCCTAACAATGTCTCGGATCTTGTTAGACTTCTTTGAATCCATGAAAGTTGCAATAGATTTTTAGCTTTGAATAAGAAGAAAAAACTAGTGTACTTGTTTATTTTGACCTCTCTTTCTTTTGGTGTACTAGTTGAGTTGTTTGTTTCTAGCTCTCTTCTCTGGGGGAATTTATAAAAGAAGGTGGAAATGGTGGTGTAGTGAATTTGTTAAGATTATTATATTCTAATTCTATATACTATTTAGTATTTTGTTTTTTATAAATAACTAATATATAATAGTTTATAAATTAAGCTAGGGTACGTTGGTTGCTGGTGCAACTGCCTTCCTAGAATCTTGATCATCACAATCGATCAAGGGTTTCTGTTTGTTTAATCCCAAAGTGTTATGATGATTAGCTCAGTAGATTTACTGATTTCTGAAGCCTGACTTCTCTCGGTTTCTGCAATATTGTCGTTACTCCTAATATTCATTTATTTTTTACTTTTATTTTTGGTTTTAACTATCCTTAATTTACTCTTTGTGTGTAAACATGTGACTTAGGAAAGAGAAATGAGACTAGTTCCAACCACAGCTTGGACTAATGCAAGAACTGGTGAAAGAAACCAAAATTGACATGATGACGATTCTGGCTTCAACACCTATCTTTCAATTCAATTGCTTGTAAAGAAGCATATTACCTCTTTTTTTTTGGTTTTTTTCTCAACTAAAATTTCATGGTATGAGGAGAAATTTTACAACAATAACAATAACCCTATTATTACACTATTTTTCTCTCTATATTAAAAAAGTAATATCTTAATCAATAAAAAAATGTCAGTTTTGGATCATACTGCATCATGTTCAAGTTTTTGTCCAATAGTTGGTTATACAGGCATCTTCATGTAGTGGTGTAACGGTAAAGATACATTTTCTTTTTCTTTGTTTAGAATGTGTCTAGGGTAGATACTTTGATACCAATCAAATATCCTTTCATATCAATTGTGACTATGTGGAGTTAGCCACACTATGCTGTGAATGAAACTGAGCATATCCTTCAAGTAGAAAGGTCATGCCTTTTTAGTTTTATTGGCGGGCCTCGAGATTCTTCTATAGACGATGAGGATAGAGAACATAATGACACTAATTAAAGATTCTCTTTTCGCAAAAAAAAAAAAAAAAAAAAAAAAAAAAAAAAAAAAAATTAATTTTTTTTAAAATATTATAAAAAACTCACATTCTAAGCAAAAAAAAAAAAAGAGTAAGAATCTCAACTGCATGACAAGAGTACTTAAGTGCAAGCCAAAAGAAGCTAGTACTAAATCAGCACGGAATTTGTCTTCTTTGCAATTACTTTTGTATTTTAAGCAAAGTTAATTTAAAACCTTTGTCCCTATATAATTTTGCAAGATCAGACATATATAGTTAACAACAAATGTTGTGCTGTAAAATATGTTAATTTAGTGTTAGCCCATATTGCATCCAATGCTGGATCCATCACTTTCAGCGTCAGATTCTATTGTGCAATGCATGCATAATTTAGGTTATATATACAACAATCATTTGAGGCTCTTGTGAACTATATTGCAGTTAACTGTAAATACATAAACGTGTATAATATATATATATATATATATGTGAAGGTTAAAAACTTGAATAAATGGAGTTTTCTATTGCAATTTGCGTGATGAAGCAACTCTTGACAATCAAATATTATAAGGCATCTGATGCTATTCAAAACTATTAATTCTCTAAGCTTTTTCTTGATATATCTGCGTAGTGATGGCCATTTAATGTTATTTATTGCATCTATATATATTATGCTTTTTGTTTTATTAGATTTTTGGGGTGTTTAGAAGATCGTGGAAGATGCACCTATCAAGAAATTACATGTGAAGACTTTTTTTTTTTTTTTTAATGAGAGAGAAAGGAAATATAAAGAAATAATGAGCCCACAAGTTGACACTTAGTACACAGAGAACATGGATGTCCTTTTCTTTCAAGTTTCAATAATATAGTTAGCTCTTATAATGATTCGACTAATAATCAAATCATATATTAGTTAATTGATACGTATATAGATTTTTTAAAGCAGAAAATAAGATAACTCGAATTATAAGAAATTACAAACACATCTCAACTCGTTAAAAATTTCATTTCGCATTACATCATACACACGCAATTAGTAAATGCTCCCATAAATTTTTTTTTCCCCATGTATTTGTGAACATTCAAATAGTTTCTTTTATTTGTGGTTACATAAATATTTTCCCAACTAGAATGAAGGCTTCAAACCTAGCTAGTTTCTTGCATATACATGAAGCTAACAGAAACCAATTTTGCAACTGAACAAAATTAAGAAAAATGTTATGTGGCATTATTGTTAAGAGTAAGATATGTTTGCTAAGTCAATGTTTCCATCAACATTTTGTGTACCAAACGACATGGCATTATTGCCATATCAATGTCATATTAATAACAATTATGTCTATAGTTGATCATAATGTGACAAAATAATGGCATAATGTATAGCTACGTACGTACGTTATGCATCTGATAATTAAACAAGTTGATTTTATTTAAAATAATTAAGTACCACCGTACATTGTTTAGTGCTTCATAAAGCAATAGTTGACCTTAATTATATGGTGTTTTAATTTGATAATCATGACACAAGCTCCCACAAGCACCGGTGATATATAAAAATATATATATATATATATGTGGAGTGAAATTTCATAAAGAATTAAGGAAGTTGTAACAAATAAGGAAATAAAATGGGGGTAACTTGGGCAACTTGAATTAAAATAGGAATGTATTAGTGGAATCCAATTATTTGGTCAAGAATGAGAGAACGGACAATCGTACAATTAGATTTAAGAGTTAATTAACTATTAAATGCTTAATTAGGCTGTGGGTTTCGGTTATTATTTTATTAATATCAATATGTTGGGAAAGGTGTTTAGTCATTATCTCAACCAATGCATGATTGCAGAGCACATGAATTTTCCGAAGGTTTATATGATCCAGTGGATGACTATGGTTTTTCTATTTAGTGATTTCGTTGCCATTTTAATTATTTTTTTTTCTCTTTCTTGGTGATCACATGAGCCCCATTACTTAGGCATATTATAATAAAAACCAACCAAATACAGTAAACAATAATGCATATTGTTAAGAAACAATCTCACATTCACATGCAAGTGGGATCTTACTCCTCAGTAACATTTGACTAATTAGAGTTCTACTAACTTTACTTGTGAGTTTCATCCACTTTTCCCTTTAGCAAAAAATTATATGTATAAGGAGAAATTTTCTATAGTAGTAGGGTTACACTAGTAGTGATGGTGCATATTTTTAAATATTAGATCTCCTCAAAATCTCATTAAAATAACAAGTTATATAAAATTAATAGAATCTAACACAAATTTTAGCGTTTAATAGTCCTATTTGTATAGTATTTTTCCATAAAACTCTTGTTATGGGAGAAAATATGGGGGACACGTGGAGGTAGGACAACATGACACGTGGCCTTAACCTCTCATCGCAAAGCAACAACCCTCGACGTCTGGGACCCCCTTCCCTCCCGTCGTTAAGAAGCCCGACTTGGGGCGTCGATTTCATCTGACGTCAACAGGTCGTACCGTCGACCTTACAACGTAGAAATCTATCGCCAAAGAAGAACAATTGGGCTAAACAACACTGGCGACGAGGGGAATGCTCCTTGGGGGAAAGCCTGACGTGGCAAGCTGCGTAAGGGATGTCCGCAGTACAGACATTAAATGCAAACCATTAAACCGCCCCTACGGGGGACAGAAAAGGGTTACAGCTATGCACAAAGCCGTAATGAGAGACTAATTGGCTGAGTGAACAGTGCGCAAGAAGTGATTAGTGGGCTACGGGCTGAGCCTAGAAAGGCAGACCACTTGAGTGCCTGTCCAGCCTACAGGAGAAAACCCCTCTAACGAAGGAAGCTCGGCTATAAAAGGAGAGAAAACTCATACGAGAGAAAGAGGTTGATTTTTCTTGAGAAAAACAAACGAGAGAGCAATTTGTAAATTGTAACAATCTCAAAAGGAATAAAAACTACAGTGGGTGTAGCTCTTCATTTTATAAGAGTGAACCACTATAAACCTTGTGTTTTTTCCTACTTTAAGTATTTTTTCTTATATTGCTCACTACACAAAAAATACCACAAACACCTTCGGTACAAAACTTTTACATATAATTTTAATTAAAGCCGGTAATCTGACGGGAAACCTGAAGGTAACCCGATTTGTTTTTGTTGACGAAAATTCACCGTCAACAACTCTCATGATATTTATTGTTGTTAAAAATATGCATATTAATTAACTACTAGCTAGCCGTGTTGTTTACCAGAAGCATCCTCTGGAGAGTGGAGAATTCCCATTTTTCTATCTTGGAAGTTCTTTCATAATTTAAAAATCCCAATTTACCAAGATAAATTCATACTATAAACAGATGCACCGCTATACATATGATAAAAAGCACTTCTGCCACTAAACTTTTTCAAAGAAGAGCCAAATATTACGGGAGTTGATTTTAGCACAATTTTTTTATTTTTTATATTTCCATCCCATTCCCACTAATGACATGCAACAATTTATTTTGTTTTTCATATCAGAATTAACACCCACACAACTGACAACACAAAGAAAGAAATGAATAAAACCAATAATTATAAGCAGTCTCTCTCCTCTCTCTGCGTTGCCCTGTAACCCTGCAGCCAAGGCATGCAATATGCATGCAAAACGGGCCAAAAGAGATGTATTGCTTTCTCCTAGGAGCTGGAACTAACTGAAAGAAGAATTTAAACCCACAAAGTGAACCGAATTGGGTCACTTCTCATGAAATTATATATATATATATATATATATGTGTGTGTGTGTGTGTGTGTGTGTGTGTGTGTGCGCACCAAATAATATGAGTCTATTTTTCTGACTCCCAATGATATTATAACATTATATGTCATGGCTATATCTATATGTGGCTACTCTTTCCTTTGTAACTGTCAGGAGATCCTCCTCATGATATACTTTTAAATACATTAATATCGTATCTTCATGGGCCATTTGCAATCATATATTGAATCATGATTACAGAGGAAATATGTGCTGTATGTAAGGAAGGTGATATGATACACATCCGATAATGCAATAATGGAGCTGGGCATGAATATCATCTATATCTATTTGGATATAATCTTTTTCTTTTCGTACTGGAGGAAGAGTTAAACTTTGTTGCGCCAATACCATTATGAGGACCATTCTCCAAAAAGTTTTGGTATCTAAAATTTAGAATTGAAGTTATGAAACACACCACTATGGCACTACTAATTGATGTACTTTTTTTTTAGCACAAGCAAATCTTCGAGGAAACGAAAACAAGATATTATGTTTGGTACCATTCGGCTATTAGTCTACCACGTAATAAGTTCCCCTCTGCCTTTAATATTATTTTGGCTAAGATTATATCACCCGACATAGAAAGCTGGAAGTAGCTTCAAATGATGATCTCAACCCCTTGAGAGAAACCCGCAAGTCCTTGAAACGTTTGATTGTTTAAGCATTAAGATTCCAATGCTTGTAAAAACACCCTTAATGCAACCGAAAGCCCATCAACCCCTAGAGTGTTTTTTTTTTTTTTTTTTTTTTTCTAGATATAATACATGATTGAACCCGCAACCTTCTCCCAAACTCCCTGATGTGGTGACACTAGACCAAGCAGTCTTAGGCACCCGTACAGAGAGTTTAAGTTTTGCTAATAATTTTTAATATACTTAGTGTAAAGGAGACGACTGTGTTTTTCTTAATCTTTAGAAGGAGAGAGAGGATTCTGATTGCCTAAATGGTGCCTTGAGGAGTGGAACATGTGAAGCTCACATGATTATCTGATTGGTCATATGATTGCTTCCTCAACAAGATAACATATAAAAATATCCAAAAGTGGAAAAATAATAAAACAAGCTTAATTTTTTATGCCCCAATACATGCCAATGAAAAGAAGATGAGAGGGGAAGAAAAGACCCAAAGTTGCAAAATTGATAAAAGATAAATCTATTTTTGGGAAGAGGAAGAATTGCGTAGTCAGCAATCAGTTTAACTTGACATCCTACCTATTTGTGAGAGAGAGTGTATTATTGGTGATGAACTTTCTCATGCAAAAACTTTAATTCCACATATTGTGTTAATTCTGCATATTTTTAACCTTCTTGATCTTGACAATGTGCTTGAAAGATAAATTTTCAGTTTCTAGTTCATCAGGGAAGAATTTACGCGCTAATGGCAAGTCTGTACCGTACTAAAAATGTGATCCTACATGTATTTAGATTTGTGAGTTGTCAAAAATGTGACTTCTAAATGTATAGAAAGCCATTGAACTATCAAACATTATTTACAGAACATACCGTTTACACAAACCCAAGAATACACATATCAGCTGCCTCTTATACAAGGGTACACCTCACCAAACGAATGGCTTCAACTATACGACATTGCAGCAGGCGGTGCCAACAAAAAAATCGAGATGAAACCTTATCTAACATCCAATTGCCAAGCCTCGCGACAGCCAGCAGTTTCGGTCTTCATTGGAATTGGCAACAGCGTTTAAAGTGTGATGATGAAGCTCCACGAATACCGAGTAAGATTAATGGTGTTATACTTACACCTGAATTCTTGTGCGATGGTGCTGGTAAAAAATTCTGGAAAAATAAAAGATGCAATAAGAACATCAGATGAATTGAATCCGCAAACACAACAAGAATGCTGAAGCGTATAGAATCAATTGTAAGAAAGAGAAAATGCTGAGAAATTTGAATCAACAGATTTTCTTCAATTACACTTCGGTGCAAACGGGGGCAAAAAGGTGTTGAGTTCCAAGGAATCGGGTATTATTTTGTATGAGGATCTAGAGACCTATGACCACATCTATCAACCACATAGTTCATTCGGTAGGTTTAATGCTTAATTGATCAAAAAGGACCTGAGAAAAGTCAAGAACTCAAACACAAGAGTGGAGATGGTTTCACCTAAATCATTTTTATTCAGTTCAGGTCAGTACTCACCAAGTTGCAAGTTAAACTACAATTGATATCCCTGCTGGAACTACAGAAATACAACAAGACTAGCCACCACATCACACCTTTTTAATTGAAGCCCATCGTACCCAAATGGGAGCACTCGTATTTTATTTAATTGTTGTATTCATATCATTAAGAGTACATCTGTTAGTGATAAATATTTACCGATTACCAATTGGTTTAGATTGAAGAAGATTATACACCTACATGAAGCGGATAGCAGAGCGGTAAACATTTGCAATCTCGAGCAATCACACAACTTGCTTCATGGCTCATCAAAAGAGGTCTTTTCAAAGGAATAATAGTTTTTTACATGTATAAAGCAGGGCCTTAGAAGGGACTTTTAGTAACAACATATACAGAAAATTTTGGTCATCAATATTACAGTGCTAAAGACAGAAAATTCATACCTGAACAGGTGTCAGTTGTTAGTCTCTTCTTGTCTTGGGTGGTTTGGGTGGTCTAATCCCAACACTAGGCATCGATGAAGAAGAAGAATGTCTTTTAGATGTTTCAGACTTTTTAGAAGAAATAAGAGCCGAGTAAAGAATAGCATCAACATCTTCCCGCTGTTTTTTCCTTTTTTCAATTAGATTGGAAGAACCAACTTTATTTGGATCTCTATCATTTGAATCTCTCTCCTTAGGGCTGGTTAGAGCAGAGGGAGTAGAAACTTCTTCGCCCCTCTGGGTTACATCATTCCCGGAGATTATTTTCAGTCGTTTAAGCACTTGAGAATTTGAAATCGTATCACCCGTACCATGTTCAGGTTGACCCATAGTTCTTTTTGAATTCTCTGACTTCCTTTTTCTCTTGTCCACATGAGAACTCTCTTCACCCTTAGATTCACCATGCGTGACATGTTTCCCTGCTATCACGTTCCTGTCCTCTGAAGTTTTGTTGTCAACACCTGCAACAGCTACAGATGAAGAATTCTTCACTGGAAAATCAAGTTCATCTCTAGCATTCCTTTTCTTCATCCCAAATTCATCTCTAGTTGCTGAAGAATTACTTTCAACTTCATTATCTCTCCCTTTATTTCCATGACTGATGTTATTTGTTCTCCTTTTAGTGTTTCCTTTTGAACTCCTCTCATGCTGATTCACATGCCGTCGAGCATCTTCAACCTTTTCAATAGATTTTGGCTGCTTAAGATAATTGTCAAAGTTCTCTGCGGCACAACTTTTATGTAAAGTTGCTTTAAACATGAATCGATATGGCCTTTTAACTGTTTTAACTAGATTTCTCTCCTTGGCATCCTTAATGAGGGCGGCCCAGTTTTTGTTCATTTGCAATGTCCGTGTATTACCCATAATCCAAAGTGAAAGCTTGGCTCTTGTCAGTGCAACATTCATGCGTCTTGCATCAGCAACAAATCCAATATTGCTGGAGGTAATCCCTGGGGCAACAGTGTTTTGTTCCGCTGCTCTTACAGTGGAAAGTATCAATATATCAACCTCCCGACCTTGGAAACCATCAACAGTATTAAATTCCATATCATCTATGATAGAAGATCCAAAGACACTAGAAAACCGAGAGCGCAATATTGACAGCTGACATTTGTATGGTGTAATAATCCCAATTCTTCCAGCAAAATATTCAGATGGATACCTACGTAGTACGTACAAATTTTGAAAAAATAAATCTAATAGCAATTCTGAAATAAGAAACCACCTCAAAGCAGAGGCTGATGGTAAGAATTATACTAGTGAGTAGTGAAGTGATGCACAATGGGCAGGTCCATACATGGTACTTCCTGTCTTGGTGTGTGATTAGTAAGAAACGTGCAAAATGCTTGGGTCATTTACTTCTCTGACTTTTCACAAAAAGTTATGGTCATGGTTGCCTATGCAGGAATTGGAGTTACTCCCTGAGGTTAACATGAACAAAAAGACTTTTGATAAAGTGTTTTAGGACGAAAAATATCTTCGGGAAAGAATCACGTTTTGAATTTCCTTACTGAGTTCTACTCGCAATGATAGGGATATTCGATCTTCCATGATTTTGTCACACAAACACGATTTTTTTTTTTTTTTAATCATTTGCAAAAGCTTGTTCTCTTGTGGTATTTCATTTTCTCACTTAAATGTGCCCATTTCTTATACGAAAATAAAGGGGAAAAAAAAGGGTAGACATGAATAGAATAACAAACCTATTCTTGAAAAACTTGAGTACTTCAACCGCAGCATCAGCCTCATGCTCATTATAAAGAGAAAAAGCACCGGAATTCTTACTACGAAGCTCCCGTCCATCGATTATGTCGTAAAAAACGTAGGGCCCAAGGCCCTCAGTCTCGTGAAATGGGGCTGATTTGTTAGACATTTCACCGTTCAGCAACTTCCGCTCATAAAAATGCATAGAAGGGAACTGACAAATCTCTGGGTGCATCCTATACTGCAAATAGTAAATAGTGGGTAACTGACTAACTGTGAGTAAATATTCCCCACAAATCCAAGGAGAAGTACAAAATGACCCTCCTATCCCAGAAATAGCAATTAATATAGCGTCACAAGCCAGAAATCCTCAATTTGAGGAATCACATAAAATATTTAAGATGAGAACAGCACAAGAAAATAATTATTTCGTGGAGGCATGACCCTTTTCTGGCTTAAGCTAGAAAATATCTTGACTACAGAATTCCATGGTTTCTTGTCACGTGGTAGCTATAAAATAAAAGAATATTACAAAAAAGCAACAAAAGAAACATTCATGTAACCATTCAAAAGTAAGTCAACGTGGACATGTAAAAACCGTGAAGAACCTTTTCATAAAAATAAAAAAAATAAAAAAATAAAAAAAAAAACAAGAACAAAAACCGTGAAGAAGTAGAACCTTGCATGAGCATGTATGCATGCACACATGCATAAGAAAAGTCGCGCAAATCTCAGTTTTAAATTGTCTTGAAAACATTAACTTCTCAGGTCAAAATGATCGTTGACAACTAGAAAATCAATTTAGAAGCAAACGTGCAACCGTACAGCTCAAAGTGTGGATAGACATTATCTCATAAAGCGGATACTTGAAACTATGAATAGGGCATTTTATAAGGTCATTCAGTAAAGAAAATGGAATGATGAGAGAGAGAGAGAGAGAGAGAGAGAGAGAGAGAGAGAGAGAGAAGCAAAGCTTTCTCTTTAAAGGGAGTAAGACGAAAAGTCAGGATTTCTAATCCTAGACTGAGGACTCATCCCTCTAAAGAGAACGCTTCTTTTTTTTCTCTCTAAAGTGGGCTATAAATAATTTTAAAGTGACGCAAATAGGTAAGCTTGCGATCCCACTTATAGCAATAATAGAATGAGTTTACTCCCAAAACCGTCAACGCATAGATTTCTCAAGGGGGATATCTAAAAAAAGCCTTTAGAAGTAGCAGATGATTAAAAATATGGAAAATAATTATGTTCAGGTTACTACGAACAGCTTTAGATACTGCATTATGACTGAGGACTGTAAGAGTCTTCATACCAGGGATTTCCCAATCATGAAAATTTTAAACTGAAAAAATTCACTCTTACCCCAAACACATGCATGCTTAGACACATATATAAGAAACAAAACTTTTATTAAAAAGATTAATTACAGAGAGCGAGAGAACAAGGCATCTGCAGTCTATTAAAATAATAAAAAAAGGAAAGAAAAAGAGTGGGAAAAAAAAAGGACTCTTGGACTCTCCTGAACAATAGCAACTTCCCTAAGCGAGTAAGCATAATCATTGTTTTTTTGTAGACATTGTTAATTTCATTCTTCATCAAACAAAAAAGATTAACTACAGAGAGAACATCTGTAATCTATTCAAATAGTTCAAAACATATCTCTTTCATTTTCTTGAACAATAACCACTCCCATAAGCTATTAGGCATAATCATTTTTTTCTTGGAGACATTGTTAATTTCATTCTTCACCAGATTTTTTTTAATTATTATTATTTTTAGAAAAAGAAACAGAATGTTACTAATTAAGGAAGAAGTTCAAAAGAAAAAAGGATTAGATATCGTCTAAACCATGGTGGATTCTTCATCAGAAATACTTCTAAAATGGTACGAAAAATGACAAAGAACTATGAGATTAATGCAATTTTAACTTGAAGTGGAGCGAAGCTTCGCCTCTTCTTTTTTTTTTTTTAAATAAGAAACAAACTTGCATTGAAAAGATAGAAACTGCAAGGAAAATTTTCAATTTTGCTTTACCTGCTTCGTCAGCATAACAACAGGGTGACCAGCCTTTTGTAAACGCTCAAACATGCTACATTCAAAATGAAATTTACTTGCAACATTTGAAATTACAGTTGCTGGAAGCTGCTTTGGGTCACCAACCTTCAATTATAAATTTCAAACACAAGTATGATTTCCTTACACCAAAAAAAAAAAATATATATATATATATATATTTTAGTATTGATTCTCAGATATTTCATACCATTATACATTTGAATCCATTAGACTTTAAAAGCTGAAGAGGAATCAGAGTTGCAGGTTCCAGAGCCTGTACCAAGGAAGAAGCAATAATTAAAATGCAGACAAAGTACCATTGGTACTGATAAAGATTAAAGCCTCAATGGAGAAAAAGAAATTTTACTTGAGCAGCTTCGTCGATAATAACAGCATCGAAAAGATTATGTTCAGATGGACTACCAAACTTATGAGTTGATATTGATTCAGAACATACTCCGTACAGATCTCCCCCACAGCCACTTAATGTAGCTATCACTATTTCAGCTTCTCTTAATATAGATTTCCGAAGCTTATGTCTAAGTCCTCTAATTTCTTCATTAGTTTTCTTCTCTTGCGCTTGAGCAATGCTAAGATCTTTATAAATTTGCTTCTTTTGCTCATAAAGCTTTCTTAGCTTTACCTGGACTTCTATGTCAGACATTTCCTTCGAATCATCTCCCTTATGAGCATCATCTTCCAAGGACTTCTTAAGGTTAGAATTTCCATCACTTAAGTTAGCACGCTTGGCCTCATAGGATCTAATACAATCAACTAATTTTTCTAACTTAGAACGCAATTCTGATGAAGAGTGTGCATTCACATCATTCTTGGCATCATTCAACTTCATCATCTCATCTACCAAACGATTATCAACAAGTGTATCAATAAAGAAAGGTAAAGAATTTGGATGAACTGTTTTCACATTCCCAACCCTCACAACATATGGCTTGTACATCTTCCCATCACTGCGATAAAGGCCTTGACTAGATATTCTTGATACCAATTCATCAACTGCAGCATTAGATTGAGCACAAATGAGCACTCTTCTGACGGGAACATCAGTAGTTTTTGCATTCATTTGCACATCGTCATTCAATTGTTTAGCCAAGGCAGCATCCTGCCATGCCCTTGCAATAGCAGCAGTCTCACTAATCTTAGGTAATGAAGAATTACTCCTTTTCAAACTGCTAAAAGGAGGATTTGCAGCTTGATCCATCTTTTGCAAGGGGGAGGCAAGTAAACCACTAGCAATAGCCAAAATAGTACGAGTCTTACCAGTACCTATACATAGGGCAATTTAAGGCAATAAACAAAAAGAATAAATTATTCCACAAATCTATTAAGGTTTGACCGAAAAAAATCACAGACCTGGAGGACCTTGGATAAGAGATAATTCTAATTTATTCGAATTAACGAACTCAGTTGCAGCACTGATCGCCTGAAGTTGACTATCATTAAAGGATGACTTCAGTATTTGCTGCAACGGTTGGGATAGCTTTCTAAGGTCTACTTTCAGAGATTCATTAGAACTAGGAGAATTATTTACTGGATTCAAAATAACTGGAAGCAATGGGATCTCCTTTATTGATGATAATGCCCGAAATTCTCGAAGTTGAGGAGTAATGCTCATAACGCGACTTGCATGCCATTTACTACGTTCCAGGAGATTCCTTCTGGCTTGGTTTAAACGTGAAGTACCATTTTGAAGATAAAACCTGATGAGTAGGATACTCAGCCTTCTCTTATTGTCTCTCTCGCGCCTCTCCACCTGAGAAACAACTGCGTTTACTTTAGCACAATATACATGCTTTATTTCCCTCTTAACAAGTGATACACATCCACAACTCATTTTCTCTGCTTTTCTTTTTTCTTTTTCTTTAATAAGTTAAGATGAAGCAGGGTCAGGAACAACAAATCTCTTTATGATAAAGAGATTCATTTTGCAAGTTTGTTATTACGGGTAGTTCCTGCAAAGCAAAGCCCACATTCGAGTAGTCTTATAGCATAGGTCTGACCAGAGGCTCGGTTCACATTCAACCACAAATCACCTACCAAATGGCTAAGGTTCTCTACTCAATAACTTACGGCAGGAAGTTTGAAGAGACCACGATCTACATATGGCTCTTATAGCACCTCCTGTGCGTTTTCATAGTGTTAGGAAGAGAAGAAGGCTGTGGTTGGCAAGGAAGATTAGTACTGATTAGGGTGATGTGTTTTTAAGTGACCATAGGTTGTTTAGGTGACTTAGTGTCTGTCAGTGTTTTGGTGTCTGTTTGTTGCTATCAGTTTAGTGTTGGTGATATTTAGTTCAACCGAATAACTGGATAAGTTAGGCTATATAGGATTCAGTTAGTGAGATTAGGAATCTGCTGTAATTGAGGTTTGGGAAGAACTGAGATTAGAAAGAGAAGGTTGGTCTCTCAAATACCAACCAAGTCAGGGTTTGTGAGGAACTCATCTGTATAATTCATTTCCTCTTTAATAAAGATCCAGTTCAGTCAGTTTAGTGCATTTTGGCTAAGAATCATATCAGGCTCTAGCTGCATAGTATCTTAAAAAAATTATTAAAAAAAAAAAAACACACACACCAAGAAACATTGTATCAATGTTTCTTTAGAAGCATTGCGTCACTAATTTCAACAACATTTAGGGGCATCAAATGGTGAGATCACTGAATGCTAGGAAATAAATAAATAAGTAGGAATTATCTTCTTTATCTTCCATTCTCTTTTACCTGCAAATTCTCAAAGCTTCCCCGAACAACCCACTAAAGAATTAAATAGCAAGCATTCATCGAAATTAGATAAAATGTGGATGACAAAGATCAGAACACCAATCCAGGCTTGGAATTACTCCTAATGCTGAATCACGCTATGGAAAACCAAAATATACATACATAAGCATTCATTTGAGATACCTAAATCCCTTATAAACAGACAAAAGATAATTAATATTCCCAAAAATTTGTCAGTCTTGCCCAAGTTTTCTAGAGAATATCGTTATGAATTTATATATTTATTTTGATGAGAAAAAAGAAATTTACCAAAGGGAAGAACGAGAACAGAAAGGAGAAAAAAGGGAACAAGCCGTTGTAAAGAAAAGAAGACTCCAAGAGCAATTTATGAAGAATACCTTCCCAACCATGTGAACATCATGAGATAATTTTTGCAGGGGCTCTTTCGTAAGCAAAACAAGGTCATTTTCTGAAAGGGATCTTGACGCTGCAGAATCATTGTCATCATGAGAAAAGCGAGCAAGATGAAAATCATCGACTCTTTCGACTGAAAGCACTGATAAGACACCAAAATACATCTCTTCCCATGAAGGCATTTCTAGAAAAGTGCTCCGTAACTGCGCCTTGAATTCCTCCAAAACCAATGGCTGGAAAATCTTGATATACTCTTCGGGTGATTCGAAACATACAGGTACCTCCTTGAACTTTCCAACTGTACGTTCGTCATCTTTGCTTGATGACTTCAACCCTACTGTTGCAAAGTAATCTATCTCTAAGATAGGCTTATACCAGTCATCAAGCCGTGGTGGTTGGAACCTTCTTACTCGAGCTGCCAGCCTCTGAAAATGGCCAGATTTATTTCCAATAGGTGTTTTGAGTTGGATAAGTTGTCGCTTGGGAAGAAAAATGCTTGGTTTTGCTAAGGATGATGGCTGACGTTTCGTAGAATTGAGGTCAGCCTCCAATGGATCATCTTCTGCATCACATACTATCTCTTTCAGCATGTTATCATTCCTTTTCAGAGCCACACTCTCACAAACTTTACTTGACTTTTTCAAACTAACAGCTCCATCTGATGAGCTCTTTAAATTAACTGCCCCCTGAGATTTTAAAGAGTAATTTATCTTGCACTCCGAGATTTTCTCTTTCAGTATGTTATCAGTCGTTTTCAGAGCCACACTCTCACGAGCATTACTCGAACTTTTCAAACCAACAGCTCCATCAGATGAGCTCTTCAAATTAACTACCCCCTGAGATTTTAAAGAGTAATTTATATTGCGCTCGGAGAGTTTCTCTTTCTGATTATTATCCGTAGCTTCTGATTTCTGGAAGGCGGCAGATGCTACTTTCTTTAACTCATCAGAGTCCACCCGTGATGCAGAACCATCTGTATCAACTTCTTGCAAGAAAGTCTTTGACATTTCCTTTGGAGTGTTGCCATATGCTTTCTTCCTCGTTAGGTCAATTTTTGAAGTGATTTCATCAACATGGTCAGTTACCTTTTTATTAGCATCAGATAACATGAACTCACTGGGTGAAACTTCTTCTTCATCATCAGACAAAACAATCAGATTATCACCGTCTTTTTTATCACTCATTGTAGCTGGATCTAGGATTTCAACATCTGTATCTTCGATGGGCAAAGACTGAAAATCCAAAGCAGACTCTTTCATTTTTAAAGATGAGCTTTCAGAACTGGAGTTCCTTTTAGCATTATCTGAAGCTTCCTTAGATAAACTAACAGAGAGGTATGATACTTGTTCGGTTAATTCATCCATGGCAACACTGTCTGAATTAAGAAAATAGGGCATGTAGAAATATGATATCAATAAGAAACAAGAAAAATGGTTGAGCATAAATGAAATGGAAAATTTGTTTGTGTATGGGCACAACTTATAAGTGAATAAAATGCTCACCACATGATATAAGATCTTCAATGGCCTTGATAATCGATTCAACAGTATTATGACTTGAACCTTTCAATAACTTCAGCAAAGAACCAACTGCTCTTTTCCAGTATACAACTACAACTTTAAGCTTTGACTTTCCCCAATCCACAAGATCATGAAGCCAAGAGAAATCAAATGGACTTTCCAATATTCCAAAAGAACCAGACTTCTTGATAAAAGAAGGATAAAACTTTTCAAATAAAACAGGAAGGATCTCAAGCAGACGAACACAAGTCATCTGACATTACAGAGATGAGAGAGCAACTAATATTAAGAATACCTCCATGATAAGACAACAATAATGCTTCAGAAAGAGAGTTTTCAGGCCAAGAATGGAATTAACTATCAAGGCATTAGGCACTCGTACCAATATACATCGCCCATCCGTGCAAGATAGGAAGGAGGGGTAAGAGACGAGAGAGAGAGAGAGAGAGAGAGATAACACTTATTTTTCTCAAATCTGATAATTCAAAACCAATGCACGCCAGGTTGACAGACAAAAAGTTTAAAAATAATTCTAGTAATGAAACGTGTGGTAATGAGTAAAAGGAAGAGTCGAAAGTTTAATGTGGGATGAGGTTCTAGTGGGTGCAAAGTCAGCTGGGATATGCTAGTTATCGTCACACATTATTTACTTAAATCGAAGAGGACAGAAATACCTGACAAGCACTGTAATCAACAAATCCCTTCCCTTCAAACAAGCACCTCCGAACAGAAGGCCAGGCAGTTTCTGATAGTAAGCAACAGAATCTTTGTCGTAATTTTATATCAATTTCAATTGATTTCTGATCAACAGTTTCTGGGAAAGATTCAAAGACTGGCTGCGTGAGAAATCCGCCATCTGTGGAGAATTTTGTCATTCCTAAATAATGAGAGGATTTTTCTGGTACACAAGCAGTAGGCAACTCCCCTTCATCAAGCAATTTTTGAAGAACAAAGAAAAAATGTTGTAGTGACTGAAACTTTAGTATGACGCTATCCAGTTGGGCCTGGAAAACACGACATAAAACTGTATAAGACAAAGAAAAAAGATGAAATCGAAAGCAATATCATCCCTTGATAAGAACATCAGTCCTAAGAACCAAGTAGAAACACGAAAGTTCAACCCAAAAAAAAGTACTAAATACGAAAGGCCCCAATTAAGAGAGAAAAACCTAAACATCATATATCATTATTTCCAGGACTTGATAAAGTACATGAAAAAAATAATAAAAAATAATAAAAAGGAGAGAGATAAGAAAATGAGATGAATCCAAACTTACCAGTTTCACAGCATGTTTCAAGCCTAACAAAATAGCAGATAACGAAGATCCAGAAGAACAAAGAAACTTCAGGCCAGAAGCAAGACCCCTCGTGTCAGAAACGTGTTCCAAGATGCACTTCCCAAACTGTCTCACAGTCTAGATAAAAGAATCATATTTAAAACGATGAACTGCTGGAACTAATATGAAGGTACAGAATGGGAGAAGAGATAGAGGGAATTTAACACAAGGGTCAAAGTAATGTCATGCTAACTATAAATAGAAAATTTTACATCATTACATCATGGGCATCCAGAAGTGAAAGAATCAAGCTTTCCCCCATTCTTGGTTCCCAAGTCCACCGCTTCTGAAGTTCCCCCTGGCCCACCTGAACTAAGAAATGGGTTGTTAACCTATAACACAGTAAAGAAAATTGTCAAGTCAAAAATGATCAAAATCCACATAGATAAGGCTTAGCAAAAAAACAGTTGTCGAGAAATCAAATTGACTCTAGCTGATCATAATGTACTTGGAATTTTTGAATTCTTCTGACAAAGAGAAATATATAATGTTTTTACAGATTTAGAGATTTTTTTTGCCTAATTATAGAACCTAATTGAATGATTTTTCTATGACCAAAGTCAAATTACATCAATTTTGTTATCTTAGAAATAGACGAAACTAGAATTCATGTTGAAAATGCCATTTTCTTTAGAAAATAATAATAATGCTACCCATACAATAAAAACAATGTTAATTAACCAATGAAAATACTTTAACCTGTTGAATGCTCGAATTAGAGGATGCAACATTGTTGACACTTTTATTGAGTTTTTTCGGTCCTCATCTCCACCGTCATTGGAACCAGTTGGAACCTTCCACCCAAATGTTGGGGAGATTTCAGAGGAAGAAAGCCATGTTCTAACTGGAAGTGCCATTTCTGGACCTATTTCAGGTTCCACCATGGTAAAACGAGACCTAGCCCAAAAAACAGCCTTGGAAAATGATGTAGGAAGGACCGAGGGATTGATGTCAACAAGGACGTCAGTCCATAACATTGGAATGCACATCCATTCTCTAAAATCCAGAGATGCAATTTTTCCCTGCACACTAAAGTCCTTCCAGGAACTTTCATCCTCTTCAGCATCCATAGCAAGTAATCCAACATCATCATCATCATCATCAGTCAATTCATGCAATGTGCTTCTTTCAGGGCTTGGTGGTGGGCAACAACTCAGTAAGGAACTTATTAAGACAGCAGCATCAGATACTAGAACAGTTTGGATGAGATCTAAGGCAGGTTGTCGTAAAGAATTGTGAAGAGAGTAATCCTTCAGAGATGAGACAAGAGGAGGGCCCCTGTCCAGTGCCAACGAAATGAGTGTTTGCTTGACCAAATCCATCATTGGTAATGTAATATAATATATATAGACATTTTCAAGCACACCAATCAATGTAGACCAATAAAATGCTAAATGTGGTTTTCAGTTGGTAGGACCTCCAATAAAAAGATAAACTTGAAAAGAAAACTATGAAACAGAAGTTGATAGCAAATGTAACTTCAGGTTTTTGTGTCTAGAAGAAAGAAATGAAAGCATAACCAGAAGATTTAGGCCCGTCGACAAATTTTGCCCCTTCAATCACTTCTGCAGCAAACTGGAAGTACATACTACATTTCATTCCAGCCCTCACGTAAAAGAACAACATTCTCTTTCATCCATATCTCCTATTTCATCCTATATTTTTTTTTCCTCAAAATACAAAATAAATAAATAAAGATAAAAACAACACGCCAAATCTAAATCCTGGTGATTAGCGGCAGAGCCACGTTCAACTCACTGGGGTCAGTGGCCCCCACTCAAACTTTAAAACTGAGATTTTTCTCCTTAAATTGCTTTTATGATTTTAGTTGGCCCTACTTTATAGGAAAAATTATAACCAGACCCCAACTCAATAATTAAAATATATATCTAAGTTCCTGTTCAATATAAAAGTTATCCTTAACATTCTTACACCTAATACTAGGAGAGGGAGGGGTAGACCAAGAATTACGTGGACCGAAGTTGTTAGGAAATACATTCTAGATCTAGGCCTTCAGGAAAGTATAATTTCGAACAGAGCCGTGTGGAAAAGTGAAATCCATATAGCCGACCCCAATTAAGTTGGGATTAAGGCTTGTTGTTGTTGTTGTTGTTGTACTGCCCCAACTAAAAAATTTAAAAAAACAAAAACAAAAGCAAAAAATAAAAAATAAAAAATAAAAAAATCTGACTCCACCATTCTGATTTAACTTAAAAGGGAAAAAATAGCTCACACAACTAAGGCAACAGTCTGCACACAAATCCGTCAGAAGTAAATTTACTTACCACATGTGTGCACATTCAGAAGGGGGACATGGTGGGTTCATTGAATAACCACGATGAACAATAAGAAGGGCTATCTGAAATCAAAATCACTCAAAAATTTTTACTTGTAATACTAAACCAAAAAAAAAAAAAAAAAAAAAGCAAAACATAAACTAAACTTTTTAAATGACAAGGACAAAAAAAAATCTAATATGACTCGGATAATCTGGGTGAAGACATACGAACCTGACAAGCCTTCTGCCTAGTTAAAACACTGAAGTTACTGCTCACGGGTACTTGATGGAGGAGAAAATAGAGAAAATGCCTACGTTGCTTCTCGTGTTCCCCATCTTGCAAGGCTTCAAGAGACTGCAATAGTTGAACTTCTTGTCAGAAAATCCACAAAACTCAATGCAACGTAACTAGGAAAAAAACTTGAAGGGGGCATGATAATTTGAAATTGAAATAAATATGAATCTTCAGACATGCCTGAAGAAAAGGCTGAAAAAGATCAAAAATGTCTTTATGGCTTTTCTCATTTCGAGTACGAAAACACTGACCCAAAAGAGTATTGCGCATCACACTTGGAGACAGCGTAGACCTCAACCAAAGTTTACAACCTTAAAGCAATCCACAATGATCAAGAAAATGTAAGAACAGGGAAAAAGAAAAACTAATAGCAGCATTAAAACCAGATATAGACTTCTGTGAGAAAATTGAAAAGAATATTCTTACCAAGCATTTCAAAGAGTAGTCGCAAGCAAGCAACTGCATAAGAAAAATCTATGGAATCACTGCTAATGTGGTTAAGTACGATATCAAAAAATATAGGATATTGCTCTAAAATCCCTTCTTCAAAGGCTGGTGCTTCTAAGAATCCAAGCCTTCACAAAACAGACAAAAAAGAAATGTAATATTAGCTGTAGATGCGAAAACAATTCTTATGAAATCAAACATTCGATCCACTAGTTCCTACAATGATTTGATGCCAAGCCAAATGGATACACGATCCAGCTCAGCTCTTGGCCTTGAAGTCTTTGTGGCTGATGGCAAAACTTCTGCCTCCAAAAAGCCAATGAATTTCTTAATCAAAGGCTGTAAGGGTTCCAAGTCTGTTGCTCTCCTATGCAGAAAGAGAAAGGCAATTAGAAACAAGCCACACACAAAAAAGGTGGCCCCACAATGAGCCAGAAAGAACCCAAAATAACGGAAAACCTTCAGCATAATATAAAAAGCGCAAAAATAATAATAATAATAATGACCACTGCTACTAGGAAATAGTACCTTAATTTTCCCATAGATCCAGCTAAACGATAACCAACTGATCTTACTCTTCTTTTAAAGAAAAATAATGCATAAACACCCTGACAAAATAATCATCATTTCAGAAGCTAAAAGGAGGAAGAGAAAATGAAGTCCAATTAGAAATCACAACACAAATGTACCAACAAGATACCGGAAACTGTTGCTGTCCATATAGAGCAAGTTCGTGTATATTATCAATGGCTTCAATAAAATTTTCAAATTCAGTAAACAAAGACTGATCATCTAACAGACGAGGGAACATCAAAACCTGTAGAAAACAAATGACGATCAATTAGATGATTTAATGTTTACTACTATTCAACTCAACAGTGAAGGGATGTTTTCACGTATGAATAACAAAATGGCGAAAAAATAAAATAAAAATCTTCTACCACTAGTTTTCACTAGTATAAGACACCTTTACCTCGGTTGTAATATACATGGGCTCAAATAAATCAGAACTGAATGCCCCTAGTTCAGCAGAACAAAACTAAAATAATCAGACATGTAAAACAAATAGGCTATGTTTGGCCCTTAAATAGCTAAGGAAATAAGTGAAAGGAAATGGAGGACAAGTAAAGGAAAAGGACAAAAATGAGTAACAAAATTAAGCAAATAAGCCTCATAATTAACAACAGAGGGTGAAAAAAGGACTAGTGCTTAATGCTTCATTAGTTGCTTTTGCAAGTAGGATGTGACACTTAGCGTGTCTTAATTATCATTTGGAAAAGCCATGCAACAAGTACAAAAGAAACAAAGAAACTTTCCAATCTGTTCATATCAACAAGTACCTAATGAGGCAAACCCGCATTTAGAACAAATTGAGTATTCAAATCAAAGGCAACCTCTTCTCTGACGTTAGAATATGGTACATGGCCAAGTTTCAATCTTTCCCACAAGCAAACGAAAAGCCCAGAAAATAAATCACCAAATACGTTGTAGGATCTGGATCTAATCCAACCGCGTGCACACTCACACACAAATATATATAAGACCAACAACAACAAAAGGTGAGTAGACAGAAAAAGACCAGCAAAGTAGTGAGCTCATTTCAGCATTGAACAAAATTATTATTTAGCTTTTTATAGATGGTTAGGCACTAAGAAGCTAGCTTTCTACAAAAACAATGGTTGAACCATGATTTTATGTACCAACAAGAACCATGATGAAAGCCTATCCAAGTCTCTTCTGCTTCTTGAAGCCTGCCTACTCACATGAAACCAAGATCTCATTACAATTACCCTCCCTGAGCATTCCTCTCAAAAGTTGTAAGGCTACAAGTTACACTCCATACATGGATTTTGATATTTCAGTTTTTCCTTTAAAGGATTGGATTACTACTCTATATATTTAAGATTTAATGAAACAACATGGCTGTAATATTCAAGTAATAGCTATGGAAAGAAGAATCTTCAATAAAGAAGAAAAACGAAATGGGGATACACATACCTCATACATAACACTAATAACTTCAGCGTCACCACAAGCTGGATCATAATCATCTTGCACTAATTTAGCATTTATCTCTTTTAAGTGCGTAGTTACCCTTTCTTCATCAAGACTTTGCAACACGTCAAAAAGGGGACCGATAGAACTCAACTCATACTCCATGTTATACATTTCTTGGGCTTGATGATGTTGGGTAACACATTGGACACACTGCCGCATTTCCTCGGAAATTCTCCTCCATAGACGTCTGAGAGGAGAATCATCACGCTCATCTTTGAAGTAGTTGTAAAACGTCTCCAAAAGAGGTCCCATTAAATCCCAAGAGCCACACCAGATGTGATGATCTTTTGGCAAAGATATCAAATAAGTAAACGCGTCTGTGAACCTGAGGCATGGTAAAATATGATACTGTATTACATGTCTGGTACGAAGAAACAATAGTTAAAAATAATAAATCATCAAAGAAGCATGTCGAAAACCGTAAGAAATACAACGAAACAGTGAATTTAAAAGAGCTTCATGTGCAGAAAGGAATTTAACGGAAACACTCCAGCTATAATAATGACCTTCGGCCTTTTAGGGATAGGAAGTAATAGGTCGTATAGGATAAGAAAAGGTATGGAATTCTACCTAGTAAAGAAGAAAGGATAATAAAAATACATGAATTATATAACAAACCATAAATCTTAAATAATATGAGAGTTAACACTTTAAAAACTAAGCTGAACCAAATAAAGTAGGAAACAAGCAATTTAGGTTATGCAATACGTATCCTGGCTCTGAAAATGCCTGAGAAAATTCAGGAAAAAAGAGCAAGAAACAATACGCAGAAGGTTTTCATTTTTAGTTTACAGATTAATTTTTCTTCATTTCTATAATGTTCAAGCGTTTGTGTTAGTTATCGTACACCTAAAGTAGCACTTCTTACAACAAACTATAAACAACACAAACACTAGAGCACTATAGAAATGGAGAAAAAATTAATCGGAAAACTAAAAAATAAAAATTTCCAAACACAATTCAACATTTGTCAAGGTCATTTGAAATCAATATAGTTTTCATTTCCAAAACAATTTGATACACACAGTTTACATCGATCCGCAATCAAAATGTAGGGCCCGTTTGTTTCACATACTAAAACTCAAATCATTAATTCTGTTATATTATTTTTCTCTCACAAAAAATTTAAATTTCAAACGTCAGAATCAAAAATCATGATTTAAGTATACTATTTGAGTATACCTTTCAAAATGGCCCTTAGTTCTACATCTGCAGTTTCAATCCAAAAACTTATCGGCATTACAAAACAAAACAAAATCGGAAGCAAACGGGGAAGAAATGAGAGAGAGAGAGAGATTCTTGGAAAAGAAATACCATTGTTCTTTGTGGTGGTGAAGACGACGGCTTTTGGAGGGATCAATACGATCATCGTTTTCGTCTTCTTCTTCTTCAATGCTTCTCCATCGCTCCAATAGTTCTCTTTGTGTCGCCATTGATGAATTCTCAAAGCAGAGCTATAGGGTTTCTCAGACAAACCAGAGAAAGAGAGTAGAGAGGAAAAACCTTTTTTTTTTCTTTTTCAATTGGAAGAGGGCAGATCTTTAGACAAACGAGAGAGAGAGAGTAAAGAGGAAAAACTTTTTTTTTTCTTTGTTTTCAATCGGAAGA